TAATAAAACTTGTATCAGGGCAGCCAGGCGTGTGGTGTTGGGGGAGAGGGCAGGGAGGGGCCAGGGCTGCTGGGAAGAGGCTGCAGGGATGCGAGGGAGGTGGTGCTGCCTCCGGCTTTGTGCTTTGTGACCGTGAGCCCCGTGACTTTGGCACAACCCAGCCACCTGTCCCGGCTGTTGATTAAGCCCTGACTCTCACCAGGGCCCGGCTGCTGTTTTTAGGCTCTGAGCTCAGCCCGGGGCTGGAGCTGCTCTGCAGGAGGCTGCGATGCTCCCCCATCCCTGTGATAACAGGCTGCCTCAGCGCTGGCTCTGGGGCTGCAGCAGCGCTGATCAAAACTGATACTGAGTCTTACAGGCGACGGAAAGAAAAGGGAAAAGCGCGCTTGTGCTGACTTCCCACTTTCCTTTCCTCTTATCCCTGTGCTACCTTTGGGCTGCAGAGCACCAAGGCTCTCCCAGTCCCCAGCAGCCGGGGCAGGACGGGGTGGCTATCCGGTGCTGGCAGCGGTGGCGGGCGATGATCATAGTCTCCATCCCTGTGGCGGAGCCAGAGGTGACGGCGCGCAGCCCTGAGAAGGCACACACGGTGAGGGGCGTTGGGGGGGGTCCCTGCCTGCCCTGGGATGGTGCCTGTCCCCAAGGGTCCCCACCTATTCCTGGGGACAGCGGTCCCTTTTTGCCCCGTGTGGTGGTCGTGGTGGTCCCACATTCTCCAGGGGCTTTGCTGACCCTGATGAAGGGGCGGGGGGGGGGGGGGGGGGAGGGGCAACGTGTTGGTCCCTGCAACCCCCTGTCTCCCGCCCTGCCCTGGGGGCCCCTGCGTGCCCATGGGGCAGTTTGGGGCTCCTGCCCCGGGAGGATGAGGGTGAGGATGAGGAGGTGCAGGTGTTCCTGGTGGAGGTGCTCTGCAATGGCCGGCGGCACACGGTGGCGAAGCGTTACAGCGAGTTCCAGGCGCTGCACAAGCGGGTGAGGACCTGGTGCCAGCAGGGGGAGGGGTCTGCAGCCAGGGACCTTCCCTGGGGACCCACAGTGGCAGCCAAGGCACCCACACCCCCTGCTCTGCCCCAGATCAAGAAGAGCTGCAAGGTGCCCGACTTCCCCCCGCGGCGAGTCCCCAACTGGGTGCCCAAGGTGCTGGAGCAGCGCCGGCAGGGCCTGGAGCTCTACATCCAGGTGAGACACGGGGCTGGCGGTGGCATCTGTACCCCAGCTGTGCCCACACCCCCCCTGTCCCAACTCCAGGGCGTCCTGTGCCACAATGAGGAACTGCCCCAGGATGTGCTGGACTTCCTGAAGGTGCGGCGCTGCCAGCAGGAGCCCAAGGGCTGCAGCCCTGTGTGAGTCTGCAGGGTTCCCCAGGGGTTGGGAGCCAACAGGGGCTGCTGGGCACTGACATCCCTCTCCTGCCATAGTGTCAGCCACTCGCCCTCCCAGCGGCCCGTCCTTGGCTTTCACACTGACCCCTACGCATGGCCACCAGCCATGGGTAAGGAGCGGGATGTGAGTGGCCCTGCAGTCCCCCTGTGCGTTGCCCTCTGAGCTGCTGGGCTTCACAAAGCTGCACTCGCGCCTCTCCCTGCAGATGTGCTCCCCAACACCGTGCTGAGCGGGGTGCTGCACGGCTTCTATACCCCATGGCACTGCCCACCCTGCACAGCTGTGCCCCGGGGGCAACTGGGCTCCTGAGCAGCCCCACCACCTCCAGCAGTGGTGTCACACCAAGGATCGTGGCAGTAAAACCTTCCACGGGAGGGGGTAAAGCCCTGCTGGGAGCTGCGGTGGCATTCTCTAACACCACATGCCTTGGTTTGGAGAGCTGGAGCTCTGCCAGCCACCGCCCTGCAATGGCATTGCTGTAGGAGTCCCTGCAGGCAGAACCCTAACTGGAAAAAAAACCCTCGGTGTTTGGGCTTTGGAACAATAAACCACTGTGGCTGTGCTGCCCAAAGCTGGCTCTGTGTTTCTGCCAAGAAAACGTAGGGCTAGGGTGGAGGCTGATCTGAGACAGGCGAGGGGCGAGGAGGGCTGACCCCTCAAGAGAGCAGAACACAGGCAAGTTTATAAAAAACACATTGGTCACATTTATTGGTGCATGTGCTTCTTACAAAAGTGTTGGACAGTGGAGCAGGGCTCCATCTTGCCCCCAGGGAGGTGGCAGGGGCTGGGAATGGGGCCTCAGTAACCACACCCCGGGATGCCACTGGGGACAGTGGGGAATGCACATGGGGCAGAAGGGCAGCCTGCAGCCCGTGGAGGCCGGTCTCTGCGGCACGGGGCCCCCTGCAGCTCCAGCCCGCTGGGATGGGTCACTCCTTGGCGATGGCGAAGGGCTTCTCCACCTCGATGGTGCCACAGTCAGCAATGGTGACGTCCTTCAGGGGTTTGTCCCGGCTGTCTGTCTTAGTGTTCTCCACCTTCCTCACCACGTCCTGGGGAAAGCAGCCGTGTGACAGGGACAACAGTGGCCGCATGCAGCTCCACCCCTGGTTTCCCACGCCCTTACCATGCCCTCCAGCACTTTGCCAAACACCACGTGTTTGCCATCCAGCCACGGCGTCTTCACCGTGGTGATGAAGAACTGGGAGCCGTTGGTGTCCTTGCCGGCGTTGGCCATGCTCACCCAGCCGGGGCCGTAATGCTTCAGCTTGAAGTTCTCGTCAGGGAAGCGGTCCCCGTAGATGCTCTTCCCTGAAGAGAAAAGGAAAAGGAGGGAAGCGGGCTGCGCGGCGCTCCCGGGAATTCCTCGGGGCCGGCGCTGGGGGGACCGGAGCCACGTGAGCAGCGCGGGGCTGCGGCGGCCGCGAGGGAGCCGGGCCGTGCGCCGGGAGCGCCGCGTGCTGCCGTACCTCCGGTGCCGTCCCCGCGGGTGAAATCCCCTCCCTGGATCATGAAGTCCTTGATGACGCGGTGGAACTTGCTGCCCTTGAAGCCGAACCCTTTCTGCAGAGAACCGGGCGGTCACCCGCACGGAGAGCTGCGGACCCGCGCGGCGGCCCGGCCCGGCCCTCACCTCCCCGGTGGCCAAAGCCACGAAGTTCTCCACCGTTTTGGGCACCGTCTTGCCGAAGAGCCCGATGACGACGCGGCCCGCATCCTCCTCTCCCACGCGGAGGTCGAAGAACACCTTGAGAGGAGGGAGCGGGGGCCGTCAGCCGGGGCTCACCCGTTCGCAGAGGCCCGGCCTCCCCCCCAGCCCGCCGGTTACCGAGGCCCGGCCCGACCCCCGGCCGCCCGCACCGACCTTGGCCGTGACCTTGGGGCCCTTCTTGCGCTCGTCGGCCCTCGAGGCGGCGGGCAGCAGCAGCAGGAGCGCTGCGCCCAGCGCCGCCGCCGCCACCAAAGCCTTCATCCTCCGCCGCTCGCAGCCCGGCCGCAGCGCCCGCCGCGCCGCCTGCATCCGGCCCCTCCCCGCCGCCCCCCCCCGGCAGAGGTGGTGCGATCCGGCCCCTCCGCGCTCAACGCCCGGGCGCGACCAACGGCGGCGGGAGGCGGGGGGCGCTGCGGAGCCGTAGGGCGGCCGCCACGTCGCCTGGCGGAGGCGCAGCCAATAGGCAGCGGGCACGGGGCGCGGCGGCCGCGAGGCGGGGGGGCGGGCTCGGAGCAGCTACGGCCAATGGGAGCGGGCAGAAGCCGGGCAGGGGGCGGGCTCGGGGCAGCTACGGCCAATGGGAGCGGGCGGAAGTCGGGGCGGGATCCCCGGGTGGCCGGCGCTGTTCTGCTCTCGGCTGCCCTCGGCGCTCAGTGCGCGCAGTCGCGGCCCCGGCACGGCGTTACGTAGTGGGATCCGGACCCGGCCGTTTGTCACCAGAAACAACTGCTGACGGAAACGCCTGGTGGCGACCTGCTGCCCGGCTAGGGAAGGAAGCGTTGCAGTCCCAGCACGGCGGGATGGAAGGGCCTTCACAGCCGCACGGCTCCAGCCCTGCTGTGGGCTGCCCGGGGCCGCCCGCGTCCTGGTCGCCTCCAGGGATGGGGCACCCGCAGCTCTGGGCAGCAGTGCCAGTGCCTCACCGCCTCTGTGCCCGCAGTGTTCTCCTCACACCTCACCCCAGTGTCCTCTGTTAGTTCAAAGCCGTTCCAACTCGTCCCATCTGTTGCTGTCTGCCATGCGTACAGAGCCGCTCTCCCTCCTGTTCTGAGCTCCCCTCAAGTCCTGGAAGGTCGCACTGAGGTCTCCCCACAGCCTTCTCTTGCCCAGGCTGAACACCCCCAGCTCCTCAGCCGTCTCCATAGCAGAGGTGCTGCAGCCCTGGCAGCATCTCCGTGCCTCCTCTGCCCCGCTCCAGCAGCTCCGCACCCTTCCTGCGCTGGGAGCCCCAGGCCTGGGCGCAGCATCGCAGCTGGGGCCTCACGAGGGCAGAGCAGAGGGGACGGTCCCCTCCCTGCCGCTGCCACCCCTCTGTTGGTGCAGCCCAGGATGCCGGTGGCTTTCCGGCCCCCAATGGACGCTGCTGCCGCGTCTGTGGCTTTCATCCACCAGAACCACCGAGTCCTTCTCCGCAGCACTGCTCTCGTGAGACCTTCTCCCATCTGTGCTCACAGCTGGGATTGCCCCGACCCAAGTGCGGCACCCTGGCTTGGCCTTGCTGAACCTCCCTGGGTTCACGTGGTCCCGCTCTGTGAGCCCGCCCAGCTCCCTCTGGATGGCATCCCTTCCTCCTGTCGTATCCAGCGCAGCGCTCGGCTCAGTGTCATCCGCAAACTGATGAGGGTGCACTCGGTGCCATCATCTGTGTCACTGATGAGGATGTACAAGAGTGCCAGTCCCAAGATGGATCCCTGGCTAAGGTGGGAACATAGGGGCACAGAGAGAAAAGAAATGGGTGCCACCACTGCTGTGGGACTGAGCTGCCTGTGGCTTTGAAGCACAATGCATTAGGAAGGTCCAGTGAGAAGGGAGGGTTATCAAGAGAGCCCAAGAGAAGCAGAGGGAAAGGAAACATTATCTAAGCAAGCAGTGTTTCTGGTGAGGGGGAAATAAGCACATCTGTTCATGGAGAACAATGCAGCAGTGCAATGTTTTATTGAAAAAAAAAAACAAAAAAAGTCTCACTTGACGCCTCAGAAGACTGCATCGCACTGTTGGCAGGGCACTGCCCGGCACCCCCCGCCCGGCTCTCCCAGCAGGGCCGCAGCTCTCCCTGCTGGCTGTGCTGCCTGCTGCCCGGCACGCAGCAGCCGGCTTGGCCCGGCTCGGCTCTCTTCACCTCCCATCCCTGGGATGGCGGAGCTTCACACACAGGACTTGCTGTTAACCTGCTTTTTTTCCTTTTTTTAAAAAAACAAAACAAAACAAACCACCACCTTTGCCCTGTCGAAGAGTCCAACATACGATTATAGTGCAAGAGGGCTTGGTACAAGTGAGCATTACCAGCATGCCGTGGGGGGACCGTCCTCCCCTACAAACACATCATCATAGGATTAAAAGAACATCGTATCTCCAGAGATAAGCAGAGCGGGTCGTGGTGAAACAGCTTTCCAACCAACCCATTTAAAAACAAGGTCAGGAAAGTTTCTAAACAATCAAATACATTCACTTTAAAAACAAAAACAAAAAAACAGAAACAAAAAAACAAATAAGTAACAACAGGAAAAAAAAAAAAAAACATTTAAGAACAGAAACTGTTGAGATGGCCCCTTCTCCCCCAGCCCTCCCTCACCCTGCAAACACTTACAGATGCTGCAACTACAAACTGCTCCTGGGGTGGACGCAGCAAGGAATGACCAAACACGGCAGGAGATGCAGAAGGAATCGAGTTCTGGTGACAGGCACTTAGTGGGGCTTGGGAGGGCAGCAACAGAAGTGTCTCGAGGCCCGGCTCCATCTGCAGCACGCATGGCTGCTCCTGGGGAGCGCCTGTGCCCCTTTCCCCCCGCAAGATGCCAAACCATGGTTTCCTACAGCAGAGAGGGGAATGTCTGTGCCAGAGACACGGAACTGCAGGGAGGCAGCAGAGGTCGGAACGGGGAGGGTGGAACATGGCTGATCCCTGTCCTCCCTCCAGCAAGAGGGGAAGAGAGACAAAGTGCCTGTTCTGGCTCTTGCGTGCAGGTGATTGAAGGTCCATCCCTGCCCCAGCCTGCGGTGTGCCCCGAGGAAAGCACTTTGCAGAGCGAGAATGAGGGTGTGTGCAGCTCCCAGAGGACGTGCAAGCAAAGAGTGAGCCAGGCTGCAGCGTGAGGGGCCACTGGGGACAGGAGGAGCGGCCATGCTCAGAGCCGCGCTCCAGCAGGTAAGGCATCAAGAGGCAAAGATGGCTAAGGATGGCCCGGAGGGATCCTGGCACAGAAGCAATGCCTTCCTGTGCTGACCTCACACCTGCTTCGAGGAAGCACGAGGAGCAACACCCGGCCCGGCTGCCGAGGAAGGGAGCTGTAGCTCCTGGGGTGCCACGCCACAAGCCCCAGCCCACAGCTCACCACTCACAACAGGCTGTGAGGTCTCGTCTCTCTCTCCTCCATCCGTACTCCCCAGGGAGCACAAGCCCATGTTTACAGCTAGTGAAATCCCTCAAGCGAACAGCTGCAGTGCAGTCAGATGGCACACATGGAAACACAGAGCACGAGCATCTATTTATTCACAAACTCCCCCAAAACTGCCTGAGCTCTTCCACAACCCTGCCACGTCCAGGAGCAGCCTCAGCCTCCTCCGGTTTGGGAAGCGTGGCAGCAGGACACAAGCCATCATGTCGCAGGTGCCCTGCTAGCTGCTAGCTGTGTGTTTGGCCTGCACGCGAACCGTGGCTTCCCCATAGGCTGGGAGCTTGCAGGGAGGACATCAAGGCTGTTCCAGTCAAAGCCATCCAACCATCTGGAGATGAAATCAGTATTAAGGCAGTGAAGGATTGCCACTTTGCCTGGGAAGCTTTGCTCCTCACACTTCCCCAGGGAAGGTGCGTGTTCACAACCACCCTACCGAAGGCTGGGGAGGGCCGCGTGCTTGCCTGGCCCTGCACTGAGATGCCTGCGGTCTGGGAAGCACCAGCTCCCAGTTATGTTAACCCTGATCTGCCTCTCTCTGCTGCCAACGTCTGTGGGCTGCTTGGGTCAGGCACGGTGTAGGAAACCATGGTGGGGACATTCACTGGCAGCTGGAAAGGGTGATTGAAAATTCAAGTATGCTTTCCTCAGCGCACGGCCCAGGGCGGGCTCCAGGAACCCCAAACTGGCACAAGGGTTGTGTGGATGTCATCAACATCCCCACTCGAGGGCACTCTCTGCACCCCAACGTTCCCAGCTGAATGTCTGTCTGCGCTTGCACCACTGGTCCACGCAGAAATCCACAGATACAATGTGCATCTGTAATGCTAAAAATAATAAAAAGTGCAACGACGTCAGTTTCTTTAAAACAATCCACATTGCTCTGTTACCGTCAGAGGAGGGAGGTGTCAAGGGGAGCCAGGAAACCTAACTGGAACAGTAGATTGCAAATTTCTCACAGCTTGCACATTACAGTGTAACTGTTCCCAAGGAGCCTAAAAGGGAACCTGTGTCGTACTGCTGCAGCAGTCAGGCCCTTCTCCCACGCAACTCTCGCGCCCCGACCACATCCTCCTGCCCTCTCGAGAGCCAATTGAGCCTACGGTGCTTCGTTTCTTAATTAAGGAGGGAGGAGGGCGGAGGAGCAGAGAGCGCAGGGGAGGGAGGGGGGTAAAGTGAGCAGGAACTAAGCACAGTCCTCAGGTTTGCATGAACGATGCCTTCGCCGTAAACAACGGGAAGGAGGGTCAGCCAGCCAGCCCCCCTCCCGGGGCGACCAAGACCTGAGCCAGCCACAGTCCTGGTCCCAAAAGGAGCATCAGGCTTGGAGTGAACGAGGGAGACCATTCAGCAGATCCACCCGAGAGTGGTTTGTTTTGGAACGTTTTCTTCTCTTTTTGGTTTAAAATGTCACTTGTTTGTGTTTTTTTTTTCTCTTCCTCCTATGCCTCCTCCTCCCCCTAAAGAGAAGCCTCTTCCAGTTAGCCAGGGCAGGAGCCGCAGGTGCACGTGGTGTTCCTGCAAGGCCCAGGAGGCACCGGTCACTTGTGACGCTGAGCCGTCTTCTTCCGTTTCCTCTTAAAGAAGCAGCAGCACCTGGAGCACAAAGAACAAGGCCAGTCAGCCCCGCGCAGCCCCACTGCCGTCCCCCCGCATGCACCGGCTGCTCCGTGCGCCCGGCCCCAGCCCGGGGACCTGCCCACAAGGTCAGCAGCGGCTGGCATGTGGATGGCCGCCGTGCCCAGACCATGGGCCGGGGGTCGGGCGCTGCCAGCAGACGGCTGGGCATGGCCCTTCCCTCCTCTACAGGCTCGACCAGCACAGGAACGCCAGGAGCCACGTGGGGAGCAATGGGACAAGGAGCCAGATGGCCAGACCTTGGGGGAGGTCCGGAGGGCACGAGGACCGCCCTGGCTGTGCTCCCCGGCTACAAGACACACGGGTTCAACACCGCCCACTAAAAAGACAGGTGCCAAAGACATCTCGGATCAGGGACCAGGTTCCTTTACTGAACCTTTCACGATACCCAGAGCTTCCACCTTTGATAAAGTGTTACTTGGTGCAGAACACCTGCTTCTCCCCTCTGCTAAGGCGAGGGAGGTGCGCAGCGCCCAGGGATTAGGAGAAGCAAAAGGATGGAGAGTGGAGACTGAGGTGGAGGGAAGAACGCTCAGCACAGCTGAACCTCCAGCAGAGGTGGTTTCACTGGTGGCATCACACCGAATCCAGGCTTCCTAGCCCTGCTGCCTTCCTACAGAGGGACTGGGCATTAGAGGTGCGTCTGCCTTCCCACCCTCAGCCTGTTCCTCACCAGGAACCCTCTGCACAGAGGAAACGTGTTACTTCTGTGCAAGTTCTGCTCCTGAGCTACGGATCTTTCTGCCATTTACAGCCATCTCTGGAGAGACGCGGAAAGCCCACCTCTCCAGGCTGCAGAACAGGCGTGAAGCTAAGCAGCGCAAGTATGCAAACACCATTTTTTCCTACAAGCTTCTTTAACCAACGGCTAGACCCAAATCCTTCGAAAACACTGTGACAGCACTTCCGCATTGCTTTCGGTGGGGTCCACCGCAGCTCCGAGATGTCAGCTCTGTGCTCCTCTGGGGGAACAGATTCACGCTCTCCTTTACCCCAGGAGGAGCCTATCCCTTACCTCGGGGTGCAGAAGCCACGGTGGCCGACACCACCGCATAAGCCAGCACTGACTGTCTGCTGGGAGACTGCAGCCCTGTGACACACGGAGCTCAAAGCCACAGTGGCGGGAGGGCAACTGCCCATGGCACGCTCCTGCAGGGACATATTGCCAGGGGAAGTGTAACATCACAATCTGGCTCTGGGTTCCTCTCAGGCGCTCATAGCAGGCCCAGTGTGGAGGGGAGCCGAGAAAAACCATGACACGCTTGTCCTTCCAGGAACACAGGCCCAGAGCAACCTGTCAGCTGGGAGCACTCCATCCCCAGGACCCCCTGTGACACTCACAGCATGCTCTGAAGCTTCCTGCACCCAGCACAGGCTCCTGCACGCTACCGGCACTCTCACCCCCTGCTCCAAGACTGGTGGTGCATTTTATTGCCCCAGTCCTCCTGCTGCCCTCTCTGGGTTTAACCTACAGCAGTATTTCCCTCCCATGGCAGCCACCTTCCTTCATGACATGGGTGATGGTAAGTAAGGGAAGGGATGGTTATGGGGAGAGATGATGACAATGCACGAGTTATGATTTCACATGCAGATGGTGAAGAAGGAGAGAAGAGGGCTGAGAAGCGCTCGTTTCCTTGGGCACTGTACAGAGGGAGCTGGCTGACTGGCTGTGGTCCCTTGAGACTCACGTCTTTTTAGGGTGTTACTCAGAGGTCCAGGGAAGGGTTCAGGAAAGGAAGTCCTGGCAGGTCAGACAGGCAGAGGCAGAACACCAAAACGAAAGGATAAGGCAGGCTGACAACTACAGAATGTGATCTCTGTGCATGCAGACAATGCCCAAGAGAACAGCCCCAGACTACGACATACAGAAAAGCCAGAGATGCCAGAGGTATCGGAGGCAATGCCTATGGAGAGCAGGGCAGAGGCGGGTCAGTCTCTCATCAAGCAAGGACATTCCTGACCCACAGAGGCATCACCTTGTTCTGCAAGGTTCCCACCCACCCCAGAGTGCCGCCTGGGCCTCAAGGAGATGCTGGAGGCACATCGCAGCCCCGGCCACAGAGGGGACGGGAGGGAGGGAACGCATCACAGCCTCCTCGGGGCCAGAACTGCAGCTTCGGGAGCCTGATGAACGGTACGTACAAAGGAGCTGGGCCCGGAGCGATGCTGATCCCAAACCAGAGGGTTGGATGGGCTCTCCCCGAGAGCCAGCTCAGCTGCGGTGCTCCCCCAGTCCTCAGCCTGCTGCTGGGAAAGCGGCCATCTCCTGAAGACTGCGGCTCTGTCATTAGTGCCTGTCACTAATGTCACTAATGAATGCCACTGCTTTATACCCCCTCTATCACTGCGGGCCCTGGCTGTGCTTCTCTGTAGGAACTCTCCCAGGAAGCGACTGCTCCCTCCCCTCCACACCAGAGCAGGGTTTTTCCTTCATATCTGTGCGAGGAAGTCCTGCAAGATATTAGGCGAGCCTGCTCCCGAGTCTGCCCAGCTCCATTAGGCATCATCTGCTCACGGGCACTACAGTTTGGGGGAGATGGGAAGCCAAATAGAAAAGGATGAGAATTTGTCTTTTGCACGGATCGGTTCAGCCATCCGTCTGATTGCTGGGCCTCACGCAGCCCTCAGACTCGGCCCGCACCCTCCCCAAGAAGCGCTCAGCAGGGTCCTAAACCCAAACTGCCCTGGGTTGGCATTGAGCTTGTGCCTGTTTATGGATTGGTTGGTTGGATTTTGCCAACCCCAGTCTAGTCTGGTCCGCTCCCCCCTGCATGTGGACTGGAGAGAGGGACTCACCACAAGTTGAGCATTTTCAGGCAGCTACAGAGAGTGTAGAGAAAAAACACAGAAAGGAAGAAAGAGCAATTAGTTCACAGAGGTGGGATGAAAGCATGTCACTGCAGCCATGCAAACATGCAGTGCAGACTGGCAGACACACACCATGCCTGCCCCCACCCGCCCCAGCCCTCATACCACCTCGCCACGGTGCCGCTGAGAATCACCAGTGTTCAGTGCCATGAGACCTCAGACAAACTCTGCACCTTCTCCCCACAGTCACAGGCCCTGGAAGGCCCTTTCTGGGGCCTGGGATCACACAGGAGCTCCAAGCCACCACACAAGAGACTGCTCTATCCCTTGCAGCTCCAACAGCAGAAGAACCATCTCGTGGGCCTGTGGGTCTGTAAGCTGCTGTTCAGCGTGTCCTCAGGGGACCCCAAAGCAGGAGCATGTGCACAGCTCCTCTGCTGGCCAGGAGCTCCAGGGAAAGAACTTTCCACTGCTGCATCTCCCCTCAAAACACAGAGCTCCAAATTCAGCTGGTTCTAACCCTTTCTGGACTGCTACACAGCAAATCAATCTTTTGAGTGTAAAAATCCTTTGCTCTCCTCATAATTGAGGGAATTTATGATCACAGATGCAAGGAAAGATGAAGACAGCCCTCCTTGAGGCAAGAGGAATGAAACAAGGAACTGGGGAGCTACAGCAAGAGCCCCCAGACCTGTTGGTGCAGAGCAGCGTCTGCTCTGCTTCACAGTGACCGCTGAAACCCTCCAAAACCAATTCTGAACCACGCAAACAGAGTCTGGGAGGGACAGAACAAATGACCAGGCACAGCTTGGGCAGCACGGCTCACGCAATGCTTCTTCTCACCTATCTTGATACTCCCCTATGTAAGAGCTGCTGGGTGGTCGTCTGCCTCAAAGCATGTGCCTGGGAAGCCCCACTTCAGTCCTGACCAAGACACAGCCTGTGACACCGAACCTGTGGCCTCTGCAGGCCCCACTACCCAAATTTAAGAGGAATATTGCCCACTCTCCAAGTAGCACCTCAAGACCTGCCCTCCCCACCATGCTCTAGGAGAAGCCTGTGCCAAAATCATGGCTCACTCCTTTGGCTGGGAGGAGAAAGCACATCCACTGCTTGCTCAAATAGCTGCCAGGATCATGCACAGTTCCCACCAAGGAAGATCACAGAAGTGCTTTCTGAAGGACAGGCAGCAAAGGACCTTCAGCACAATAGTGACAAGGTGGAATAGTGACAAGAAGGCTCCAGCCTGATGGATAGTTTTCTGAGCCATTTCCATCCTTTCTCACACCTCCCTGTTTTCCTTCTTACCCTTCCACGAATCATTCCTAGCAGAGGGCTGAGCCAAGCCACACCAGCACCACCAAGACTGCCCAAGGCAGGCACTGGAGCAATGTCACAGCACTGACCAGTCTGGGGGCAGCTCCAGGCCCACTTCCCCTTGTATGGGGAAGCTGGGATTACCTGCTGGGGTCCTGCTCTAGTTCAGGGGCAGCAAGAAGGTCCCGTGCTGAGGGTCATGCAAAAGGTGACATGATGGCGCCAGGTGCAGCACGTGTGCAATGGAGGCCAAAATGGTCAAAGCAGCAACTATGTATGTCGCTTCTCACTCTTTGCCACACGCTACAGAGGAGAGGTCTGCTCAAAGCAAGCACACGGCTCCCCATCAGCAGAAGGGCTGTTACTGGTTTCTCTCTCAGCACTGGACTGGGAGAATTCACAGAGAAAACCCCAAGTCCCTGAAAGGATTACTGTCATACCACTCTGGATACCTGGCATTACTTATTGCAGCCACAGATGAAGTGTGAACTCAGACCAACAATTTCTTCACTGAGCTGTGCTCACGCTACTCCTACACTCAGCATGAGCATACAGAGCGTTCTCCCTTTGGAGGCTCCTGCAATCTATTCATGTTACTTTGGTACTTGTGCTACCATCTATTTTGCAACACATGCTCTGAGTAAGAGTTACGTTCTCCAGCCACAACAAGTTTAAAAAGCAGCGGCAGCACTGAAGGCACCATGCACAAAAGCAGCAATATGCAGGAAAAGGGCATGGGACACGAGCATCAAGTACTTCCCCGTGGGTAGATACCCCCACTCGTTTCACAGGAGGAAGATTAGTGACCACACCAGTGGAAAGCCTGTTTGTAAAGCCAACGTACTTAGCTTCCTCCACCACTTCCACCTCTGCCTGTGCTGTTATAGGTGCATTGGAGTGTGCCCCCGTCGGGTCGTCCACGTTCAGCTCCCCGTTGGTCGAGCTAACCACCTGAAACACAAGACATTCCCCATTAACAAAGCTCCCCCCACAGCACGGTTCCACGTGATGCATCTCCACCTGTCTCAAAAAGGCATACTGGAGGAACGGGAAGCCTGTGAAATAATTTCTGTCTGTTCTTGTCTCCTGTTGGTTCCTGGGAAGCCTTTACATCACACTCCCTGTCTACAGCAGCCACCTGGCTTTTCCCAAGCATTTGGCCTCGCAGTGGCAGGTATAACTGCAATTCAGTGACGCACAGATTCTGACAGGGAGGAGCAGGTACCTGCACTGATCCTCCGTGCCGATCCGCAGCCAGATGAGATGTCAGGTACGAGGTATTGGTCTGCCGGCTGGGCTGGATCTCCCACTCTCCTCGGCGATCGGATGACGCCTGCTTGAAGTCCAGAAGCAGGAGAGAAGCAGAAGAGAGGGCAAAAGGTGAATGAGGGAAGAAATGAGAGGATGGCTGTTAGTGAGTTAGTCCATTTTGTTTCTCTGTAGGTTTTTCTTGCAAAACAGCAAGGCAATTTAGACAGCTAGGCTACAGCTTAACTTTACCAAGTATTAACCATACATTCCTTCAGCTTTACCCACTGCAGGAGTGCATTCCTTCTCCAGGTGATAAACAACAAGAAAGCTCACATCTATCCAAGAAGTTATTTCTATGCACAGTGTTGCCTGCATGTGTTTCAGCACAGCAACAACCATGCTGGCAGCATGTTTCACCCTGTCTGCTAGGGCCCACATCAGAGCCCTGGACATGGCAGCAAGTTGAGATACCCAAGACTGACCTCCCTAAAATACTCGTTTTTTTACTCAAAAGTGCAGTAAACAAGAAACTTCCGCTGACTTCATCTCCAGTAGATGCAAACTGTATACAAGGAAATTATTGGAATTTGATTTGTTTTATTAGAAGAACCACTTTGCACTTGCACACGAGGCTGCTAACAGGTCATCCAGCACCGATGACAACACACCCAGTGCTCATCTGAGGGCAATGAGCATCTCTGTGCAGCCAAACCAACAGTCAGCTGAAGGAACTTATTGCCAAGGCTGGAAGCACAGGACAGGGAGGCAGACAGATGCGTGTCAGATCTCACGCCAATGGCACAGAATGGAGTCCAGCACGACGTTACTAAGGACATGGCTGTGTTGCTGGATGCAGTCATTCTCTGCAGCCACACGAATGAGCCTGAGCCCTGGTCAGAGCCAGAGAGGAGCTGCTGTGTGGCCAGGAAAAGAGGGAGGGGCTGCCAGCAATTCCACGCAGGATGACTCCAGAAACCTTCCTGTGCACTTGTAAAAAACTGGAACGAGAGCGTTTGCAAAAGGAAGCAGAACAGAAAAGCACTCTGCTCGCATGCCATAAAACAAGCACCATCATTTCCTCTGTGAGCGACCTCTGGGTCCGTCCCTGAGCGACCCGCAGTGCAGCTCCTCCTGAGCAGTCAACAAACCCACCTCACAGGGAGCGTTTCCCTAGAGATGCCTTCATGCAGGCCTGTAAATCTTTTTGTAAAATGCTTGTTCTGTCAGCCCGAGACACTGCTTATCCTTTTCTATTGGTATCATTCAAAGGAGTTACTGGAGAAGCACTTCCCTTGAAATTCTTCTTCAGTTGCTGCAGGTCACAAGATTAAGAACAACTGGAGAATTTAAATGGAGTTTTAGAAGTTGGTGAAGTACATATCTTGAGTGCTGCTTTCTACAAAACACTGCACTGCCAGTTTCCTTGGCCAGGTCAGCTGATGAAGCTGTATGTCTGTCAGCACAGAGAGCATGGCCTGGGAGCCTGGAGGCACTCTGCAGGAAAGGCGTGAGATGACACCAGGGCCAGATTTCTGTCTTAAGGTTCTACACCCAAATACCTGATAAAAAAATCTATGGTGTGGGAGAGAGAAGAAGGTATCTGTGACTTCCATAGCAGCTCTGTGCTGAGGGGCACTGAGGCGCCCATCTGCCCAGATAAGCTCTCTAGAGAGGTCTGATATGTGCTGGGTGCCTGCATTTGGGACAGGAGGACAACGCTGGGGAGGATAAAGCTGGAGGACTACTATCCCCACCTGGTCCTTCAAGCTGGGTTGCCTGAGGCTGAGACCAGGGAAGGAAAAAAATGTCAAGGAATCTTTATGTGCCTTGGGAAGATGCTAAAAGGATTGGGAATGCAGGTGGTGCTTTCCTCAGTCCTCCTGGTTGGAGACCGAGGTCTGGAAGAGAACGGACCAGCTGAATGACAGGGTGCATGGGTGGTGTCACACTCAGGTCTTTGGCTTCTATGATCCATGACATACCTTCAGTGAACCATGGGATGGGACACAACTGACAGGGAGGAGCAGCAAGCTGGTTGGGCTCACTGGGAGAGCTTTAAACTGGAGCTGCTGGGGGGGTTGGTGTAGTGCTGAGGAACAGAGAAGAGCCAGGGAATGCTGTCAGCTCAGATCCGTCCCTGAGGTTTGTGGGAAGGCTCCTCTAGGAAGGCAGTGTGTCTGAAAGCTCAGCTGGAGTGCCTCTATACCAATGCATGCAGCATGAGGAATAAGAGGGAGGAGTTGGAAACTGTGGTGCACTTGGGAAACTTTGATCTTCTTGCCATCACAGACACGTGGTGGGATGATTCACATAACTGGAATACCACGATGGAGGGCTATGAGCTTTATAGAAAGGGCAGGCAAGGTAGAGGGGGTGGAGGTGATGGCCTCTGTGTCAAGAAGTGGATGGACTGCAAGGAGCTGCCTCCGAGGAGCAGTCAGGAGCAGGTGGAGGGCCGGTGGGTTAAGGCTGGGGGTGGGACCAGGCTGTGCATAATCCATCCCTGAGGTGATCAAGGCCAAGGTGGATGGAGCCCTGGGCAACCTGATCCACTACTTGATCGTGCGACTGGCAGCCCTGCCTGCAGCAGGGGGGCTAAATGACAGTGATCCTTGAGGTCCCTGCCAACCCAAGCCATTCTGTGATTGATCCTATTGAATAACTGAACATCCTCAGTAATGTTTAGGAGAAAAACAAGACAAAAGGTGCCTTGGAATTGCATCAGGGGGGATTGAGGTTGCATGTTAGGAAGTCAAGAGTGGTCAGGCACTGGAATGGGCTGCCTAGGTGGTGTCACTGTCCCTGGAGGTGTTAAAAAACCTTAGATGTTGTACAGAGGGATATGGTTTAGTGGGATATATGGGTGGTTGGCGGATGATTGGACTGGATGATCTTAGAGGTCTTTTCCAATCTTGGTGATTCTATGATTAAGACTGAAAGGCTTAGAAGAACAAAAACTGAATGCTGTCCAAATAATATTTTGGGAATAAGACAGCTGTCTTTGTGCTATCTACTAACATTTGTGAACTAATATGCTTGAAAATGAAGCCAGGCGTCATTGTCCATCAAAGAGAACGAGATGCCTTGATTGTACACAGCACGAAGATCTGTTGTCAGAGCAGACAACTACAAACTGCCACCCAAAATGGAGTTAATGCATTCATCAGGCAATATAATAAAGCACATTATTTTACTACTACTGTCAACCCAGTCCACACTAATAAGCATGCATAAGTACTGCACACATGCTTCAAACAGTGCAGCCTCCTACAAGCAACACTTCTAATGGGGAAATATTCATCCTGATTGTAGCTGAAAGCTTTAGATGCAGTCTGTATTAGGTGTTCTATCACTCCAAACACAGCTGCATGGAACAAGGAGAGTTGAGCCCAGACAGGTTATTGCATCTCACACTCAATTCTGTGCCCACAAGGCCCAGCTCGCGTGAGCTGTGTGGGTGCAGGAATCACAGACACAGCCAGAACAGCACGCAGCAGTTAGAGCAGCAGAGCGAGCCCAGAACCACTCACTGGGAAGCAAGAGCACCAACAGCTCCAGCCAGGAGCCAGCAGCTGGAGATCTACTCAACTTCTGAGCACCTTTGCTAATAAAGAAAATCCAGACTCTCAACCCAGTATTACCACTAGAAAGAAAAAAGGGGGAAATTCATAAACCTGCAGTTTATCTGGACCACAACGCCCAGCCTCCCCAAAGGACCCTGCGCTGGCAGTCCTTTCTGCTGTGCAGCACAGTGCCTCTGACAGGGCACCCTGAGCTGGATGCCGTGCATGTCCATGGAACACACACATCTTACTCCACCCCACTTGTTCACAATCTGGAGGAATTCCACCGCTCTTTCAGCCATTCGTTGCTTTGAGAAAAGTTTGCTCAGACCAAAGTCTTCCTAAATTAAGCAAGAAACACGCTTGCCACAAAGGCAAGAATCAGCCCCAGCTACCCCAACCGGCAGGGCTTCTGTTCTGCAGACCAAGGGGAATTCAGAAGGATGCCAAGCGAGGCAGTGCTGCTAACATACCTGATTGCGCAGAGCCTGCTGTGACGGCCGGTCCCGATGGACGTGGCTGTCTCTCGTTATTGCAGACGTCCCGGAATCTACGTGAACAGATCCCACTGGAGTAGGCTGGAAAACAAGGTGTTTGTTAGGACACAAGTCAGGTCGGCTCCCATCATGCACAAACAGCACAGGAAGACGTCAAAACGCTGCCCAAAGGTACTGGCAGCAACGGGCACAATTACAGCAAGAGCCATGGGACGCCTATGATGTGACTGCTTGCTGGATACCGGCATCAAACACCTTGTAGGAAAGTGAACTAAAAAGATACATCTGAATCTCTTCCAGTGTCAGATCGCACCGCACTTGTCACAAATGCAACTGCAAAACATACAGGCTTGTTTTCCTCAGCTCATTGTCTTGTTGCTTTTAAAAACCACCCTTGCATAGAAACAGGACGTGTTAAAATTAAGGCTTCATCTGCTCTATTCTCACCAAAGTCACAATCCTTGCTCACAACATCAAAATCTCCATAGCAACCACTGCAGTTGTCAGCAATAGCAAGCTTGTCTTACAAGGTGCTTTTTATCAATTGTCTTTGTAATCAAACAAAAATGAGAGCAAAAATCACGATTCACAAAGGGAATGATTTCTTACTAAAACGAAGTGCTCTGCGCACAGAAAACATTGGTAATGCTAAACACAGATGGATGGAAGTCACTGGCAGCGGTACCAGGTTCAGCTCTGAAGGCACCAGTGACACATTTGATCCGGCACCAGTGACAATTAATTTACAGCTGCCTTTGCCACTGGTGGTGCACAGCGACTGGCTGTTAGCAGGAAGGCTGTCAGCGGAGCGGCACCAAGCGACGGGCTGCAGCACAGGCACGGATCAGATGGGCAGCCAACGGAAGAGCTTCAGACGTTTCACCAGGTTTCCCAGTGACATACCTCTTAGCGAAGGCCTTCCTGAATACAAACACTTTTGACTATAGGAGTAATGGACTGAGATCACAGTTATGTCCCATCTGGTGCTAAGTGCAGCTTGGATACTCCCACGTTGCCCCGCCATATTTAGAGCTGGCTCAGCCCCTGGAGCAGGGCAAGCCCAGGGATCTTTAGAGATCACAATGGGTTTTCCTTTCATTGTTTTCTGAGCACCTGTCAGAGCCCTGCCCACATTTCCCGTACTGCTCTGTGACAACTCAGCTGCTATGCTCGGTGCTGAGGAAGCAAGTATGGGTTCCAGCTGTAAGATGGATGTCTTCAGATATTGATGACCAAAGGTTTCAAATCATGTGCTAGGATAGAGGAAATTAAGTCCAGTCCTGCTCGTGGCTGCAAGGGAGGAATTCAGCACTGAATATGTCACACCAAGGCAAACCTAAATTGGTGGCAAGGGGCCATCTGCCCCTTAGGATAACTCATGGCACCACAAGAACCCCCTAACACAGCACCAGAACTTCTCTCTGCACTGAGCCTGTACTTGCTGGCTCCAGAAAAGAAGGGAGCGGTTTGATCCTGACTCACTGGCACTAACTGGCAGTACTGGAACAAACCGAGAGCAGCAAGGCCCTGCACTCTGCAGGAGGGACTTACAATTGGCCTGCCGACCCAGTCATAGGCGTAGTCAAAGGTGTAGCCTTTCTTCTCAAACAGCTCTGTGAAGATGGTTCGTAAGTAGTCGTAGTCTGGTCTCTCAAAGAAATCTAATCGCCGAACGTAACGGAGGTATGTGGCCATCTCCTCTGTTGGAGAAGGGGAGAAGGAAGCAGTGTCAGCTCTGCCCACTCGTCGCTCCATCACTTACAAGCCTCTCAGCGCACGGCACGCGATACATGCACACGCTGGAAAGGTGCTTTTCAATGAACTCTAACAAGGCCCTTCCACGGCACAGAGCACGACAGTTCCCCCAGCCGGACCAGGGGCAGACCCCAGAGCTGCCCAGGCTCTGCCACATTCAGCCAGGCAGATCGATGGGAGCTGAGGAGAGCCTGCAGGCCTTCACCCCCTGTGACCTACCCAGCCTCCTGCTGCTTGATGAACCTCACTCAGCTCTCTAGAGCCCTCCGGCCCTGCCCAAAGCCTAATAATAGCTTGCTTTCATTCTGAATCTTCTGAATGAGCTGCTATAAAGTAAGGCCTTGTTGCAGCACTGAGCATCACGCAGGGAGAATTGCCTGGGCTGCTGCTGCTAACCTTGGCTTTCCTTTAAAAACTACTGCTTTAGAAGCAGCCCACAATGCAAATCGATACAAATACATCTCTAACAATGTTGGAGTCCCACACCTGCTGCAGAGGGCTGCTGCTCTACCTCCAGCAAGTTCCACAGCAAGCTTCACTCTATACCCTTGTATAAAAACAAACACTAAAATGCACTCTACAACACAGGGCAGCTCTCTGAGCCTGCCTACAGGATGCTCACGCATACGTCAGCTCACAGACATTTAAAATAGACACAGTGATTTCTATACCAGGACAGGACTGTTGTTCTGAGCAGAGCTCAACACGAGGAATAAGACTGGGTACTGCAGGAAGAAGCTCAGTTTTTGCCTTTAACTGACAAAAATAAAAGCAGCTCTGCTTGGTGACGGTTAGCTACGCCTATGGTTGGCAGCTTGTCTGTCACACTGAGGCAAAAGAAGAAGAAAGGTCATTTCCTCCTCCTGCTGTTGTCTTTGAAAGATGATCAACGGGATTCAGGCAAGTGCGGGAAAGAAGTTGTCTCATCTCCTTTCAGCCCAGACCTGCATGTGTGACAGAGCTCTGAGGAAGGAGCACCGGGAAGGGAAGGAATGGGGAAAAGAGCAAAAACGACAACAGCCAACCTGATGTCTTTCTGCTTGGAGCTTGGTGGATTTGGGATGGAAACGTGTCTGGGAAATAAGAATGACCTGAACAACAATTCCTTCCAGACTTGCTGCTCCTTGTGCTGGTAAAGAGCCACGGACACGAATTAATGGGCATGGTGAGATGGGTTGATGGTTGGACTAAATGATCTTAGAGGTTTTTTCCAACTGTAATGATTCTGTGAGTCTATGAGAACGGCTCCAACAGGAATGGGGCAGACTGTGAGGACCTGGGTGCTCTCCCTGTTGTCCAGTTTCTCACCTCGTAGACAGAATACTGAAAGCACTGCACGGAGGCTGCACCGCACCCCGGGAGGGCTTTCACTTCATACTCTGCTCTCCCAGCTCTGCAACGGACTTCTGCTGAACTGGAGAAAAGCTGCCAAACTTTGCTAGGAGTGCACCCTTAATAAAGCTCTCCTTGAAGCCATTGTTAGAAGGTGGAATTCAGTGACATCGTCCCATCTTCTAAGCTGGCCACCTAAAATTTTAGCACCTGTAAGTCTTTTCAACTGGAAACAAATCAACTGAGTAGAGCCAACACAGGCACTTGAGAGAGGGAAGACAACAAGGTCCTCTGCAGGAAGGAAGAAAAGCAGGGACATGGGGCACTCAGGCACTGCCCAGCTTGCAGAGTGGGAAGAGTTATGCTTGTAGCAAGCCACAGTCACAAGCTCCCAGCCCTGCTAATTCCTAGCAGCAGCCCCAGTTGTTTTCCTGCTTGAGGAACGACATAACACGTGTACATCACTGAAATCCTCTCTGCCAGAGCTGCTCAGATCTATCATATCCAACAAGGTATGTCTGTCTCCAGTGACCCCATCAGCACTTTACCTGGAAAGTTCTCACAGAGAACTTCAACCGGAGTGTTTCGCTTTGTGTCCCCGATCTTCTGATACCTCTCTTTTAAGGTGTCAGCCTGCAGTGCACAAAGACAAAACAGTTGTGGGGAAAGAGTTCAACCGTGTGAGAAACGCCATGCTGTCTGGGAAGAAAAACAAGGTGTTTAATGCTGATTCTGGGTGGTAGCAGGCGATGTCACTTGGAGCTGAACTGCATCCTAGATTACAGTATGTTATCCTGCTGTTATCTTCACTGTGTGCTTTACATGCAGTCAGCACAGAACATTCAGAGAGGTATTCAGGATGCCTCCAGTACTTGAAAGGAAGCACGCTGGTTGTGCTCACAGGGCTCATTTCTTACCAGCCCAGTCCTGATATAGGGAAGCTTTTCTGGGGCAAGAAATTAAAGCTGCATATACTTCAATTGCACATCAGTATCCTGACACTCCAGCAAAGAGCAGTCCTAGGCTGAGAGCCATCTGCAAGCATGACAGCTTCATAAGCAACTGCAAAAGCAGTTAAACTGTGACAGCAATTTTGACATGTCATGTTTTTACTGTGCAGAACAGAATGCCACCACAGAGTCAAGCAACCAGATTATATCAGTCACACTTCTCCCAAACCCCGTGCTTTCACGTGCATTTCACCCCCAAGTGCCTGTCACTTAGCACTGATTAAGCAGCTGGTCATCCAGAAAAATGACATACATTTCAGTTTGTTTTCCCACCTGAATCGCTCCTGAAGCAGAGCACTCTGCTCCAGTTGGCACCCTACAAACAGGTTTCACTGCCTCCATTTCAAAATATGCCAATTAGACCTGCCAGCAATACAATTAGCATTGTAAGATGTCCTCTTAAGACCTCAGCACTGACAGTAGAGACCAGAAGTGTAGGCTGAGGAAACCTACAAGCGTGAAGATGCCACGTTTTCAGGCTGAAGAATTTGGGTGTGCTCTGAAGCTAAAGAAATGCAAGACTTCAAGGAGCAAACAACTAATTCTCACTAACTCAGCACTGATCCAAGGAAAATTTTGCAGTCCTGTCTAAACCTGGAATTATTTTAGAGTAGTTTATAGGATTGATTTAAAGCAGTTAAGTTCAAACTAAAGAAATAAAATATGTAATGGAATAACACTGATAGATTTACCATTGGAAGTGCACCTATTGCCAGAGAGGTTCTGAGCCCTTTCAGGATCATTTCAGTCCTTGAAAATCCCTTCTGTGTTTTCTGCATTGCTGCTGACACTTCTGACACATGTTGATAAGGCAAAGCTGAGGTTAACTCTGGATAGATGGTGACAAAGCAGCTTAGCAGGTTCTATCATGCCATCGGCCACAGCAGCACTCCGCTGAAGATGCTGAGCCCAAAAGCTCATCTGTTTTTTCACAGCATGCCAACAGGCCTAAAAGGAGTTGCTGTCTTCACTAAAAACCTCCTAAGCTGGTCACCCTCATCCCTACACTCAGTGCAGCTCCAGAGGTGAACACGTAGCTGCACGATCAGGAAGGTGGTGGAGAAGAGAAGATGAAGCCAGCAGCAGCTGGGAGCCAGCACATGGCATTCTGCTGATGGATGTCAGCTGCGGCTGTTGTAACTCAATTGCTCGCAGCCCTCAGCACTGTAGATGACATTTCATAAACTTACAATCCAGAACTGAGCACTGAATGTCCGCTGTCGCTGGAGGGAAGCCAAGCTCCATACTTCTGCCAGAAAAGCAGCTTTTCAGGCTAAAGTCTCTCGGCAAGTCTAAAACCATCAGACTGCTCCTGTTACAAACACGACCCTGGATGCAGCTGGGGCACTGTGTGCCATCACCGGAATTTCATAAACAACCATTGTGTTCTGGGCAGGTGCACATTACAGTTAAGCTGCTCCAACTGCTCAGCAGCCCCACTGCTGCCCTCCCTGTCCCAGCAGCTCCTTTGCTCGCACCTTCCCTGCAGAGCTGCACCGACTCAGTGATGCTAACACTAATCTGCAGTGCCAGGTAATGTACTTCAGGCCTGGCATCTTCTCTGCAGGTAAATCTAACACGTTAGTATTCAACTTCACAGACATACATGACTGCTATGCCCTGATTTTCCATATGTTCCCCTGACAGATTCACATCTGGGCAGAAAAGTGAGTTTCAATGGGCAAAACCTAAGACTCAAACCTACCTTCAGTCCTTGCCAGGGCAGACTGCCTCGCAGGAAATACATAAACATGTGGCCAAGGGCTTCCAAGTCGTCTCGACGACTTTGCTCTGCAACAGAAGAGATGACAAATTATTGCTGCGGCTGCAGAAATGGATCTGGCCAGTAGGAAAAGGGATTTCAGGCAGAAAGCTATAGCAGGAATGCTCACTTGAATCATACGATCATTAAGGTTGGAAAAGATGATCTAGTCCAACCATCCACCTACTGCCAATATTGCCCACTAACCCATGTCCCTCAGTGCCACATCTACATATTTCTCAAACATGCAATCTCAGGGCTTGCGCAAAAGAACTTGGAACTCGGTACAAGGAACATGAAACACACGGATCAGCTAGAAGATAGGAGCTGGGAGCCAGCGTGCCCAGCACTGTGTGCAAAGGATGTGCTGGATTACTTCCTCTGAGCCCTGCAGCAGCGGGCAGGGGACACTCGCAGCCAGCTGTGGGAACTGACATGCACACAGTGCCAGCCATCTCCTGCTGCTTCTGGAGCTCAGTGCATCACAGAGGGTTAAAAATAGCTCCTTTTAGCATTGCTTTTGCTCGTGAAACACTCGCTGCTGTTGCCATGCAGATGTTATGATTATAGATGAGGTAAAAAAACATAAAAAGGAGGCCTCGAGCCAAGGGCAAGGCATCCTTTAAAATAATCTACCGAAACGTGGCCCACACTGCCAACAAGCCACAGGATACAAGGGAGAACAAAGGCAACCTGAGCAGCAGGAGGCTGTCCTGTTGGCATCACTGCTTGCTGGACGAATGGTCCCAGAGCTCCCCAGCAGTGTGGGGCCCCCAGCGCTGCTCACCAACTGTCTCTGCCTCCCAGCGGCAGCGACCTGCTCTCCCCCAGGCTCCCCCGCACACAGAACACGGAGCACACGGAGCCTGGAGGCCAGCTGGCCGGTAGGTGGTGGCAGAGCAGTGCCCTGCGGTGCTCCCATCTGCAGCCGCTCACTTCCTCCATCTCTTCCCCCATCTCCTCAGAAACAGAAATTGCACCCATCTCTTCTCACTCCCCAAAACGAGAGGCTCTCCGACCCGTCGCTGTGCCACCGCCGTACCACTCTCGTGAGTTTAAAGGACTATAAACATTTAACAAGGGCTTCTGCCTTTCAGCCACAAAGATGTAATTTTCCAAGGATACAAGGCAGCGAGTGAGGAGACAGAAGATGGGTTTAAAATTAGTTCTATCATTAAGGAAAGCCATTATTCATTTTCTCCAACTGGTTATTAGGTCAGGGAACAGCAACTGAAACTGAAAGGCGCTGGTGTGGGGCTGTGCTATAAAGATCTCCTTGGTCGCCACTAAGTGTGGCAATTACTGCCTGCCCACTTGCTTTTATCAGAGCAGGACTGCTACCTTTATTGTTTTGCTCCTAACAAAAACCATAATTACAAGGCTTCCAGTTCCAACACTTTCAGCTGTCTCAACTGCTCAAAAAAAAACAACCAACAAACCCCCAGAAGCCTCACGGCATCGCCATGCTGTGTTAGCAAAGGTATGAAGGGCACGGAGCCATAAGCTGAGCTACCATCAGAGCTCCCCAGCACCAGCACAGCTCGTGCTGAACGTACAGACCTTTGCCAAGATGTGTGTTGATGGACATGTATCTCGCCGTTCCAGTTAAGCTCTTGTGTTCCCTGTAAGGTATGTGTTTTTTGGTTTCTGGGTCAATATACTCCTTTGCCAATCCAAAGTCTATGATGTGAATGACGTGGTCTTTCTTATTGCCTTGCCGGCCAATAAGGAAGTTTTCTGGCTTGACATCTCTGTAGATGAGGTTCTTCGAATGCACGTATTCCATTCGAGAGATCTGCAAAAGGACGAAGCAAACATTACTCCCAGGCAGCCCAGCTGCTCTCCTGCAAACAGAGCAGCCAGGTTTTGCAGCCCACCACAAAGGCTCCTCAAGCCACCCGCTGCCTGCACACACAGGCACTGTGCAAGTGGCACCAACAGAGCAGAATGAGGCACTGGTGACTGCCTGAACAGTGGCATTCTTCATTGCACAGCTGGAAGAGGAATTTGCCATCCCCACCTTTCGCCCTGTGCTCCCTGACTTCATCTGAAAAGGAACAGGACCATTTCTTCTGTAATGCTACCACCAGCACAGCGTTCTTGGAAGGATTCCATGGAGAATTGCAGCAGCCTTTTGTATTGATTTTAAACACGCTAAGCCGGCTACCAGGAGCTCCTCCCTTACCCACAGCCCTCCCTTGTTGCTCTGTGCCTCACCACCTCCCTCCCTCAACCCATATGCTGTCTTAGACATGCCAAATTCTCCCTGGAGGGGGGGATCTGGGCAGGCGGAAGCCTTACGCTCCTCAACACCGACTAAAAAGAATAATTAATCTCACCAGTCGTCAAGCAGAATTGGTTGGAGTATTTTTCAGCTTTTGACTATCTGTGTTCTGCCACCAAGGAGCAAGCAAAGGGCCAGACGCCTGGCTCCAAGGGAAGAAGGGCTGCCTCAGCTCTCGCAACACACCTCACTCAGTGTGCATTGTTAATTCTGCTTCAGAAAACGCCTAAATGATGTGTAACGATGTTTGAGCAGGCCTGCAAGCAGCTCTCCTTTGTGTCGCTAACTCTGTGTTACCGCTCCTCTCCCCTCTCGTTTTAAGCAGTGATTTATTTCAATGCGCTGAGAAAATGGATTGCACAGCTCCCAGCCATTACTGCTCATCATTTCCAGGACGCTGCAGATGCTCCACACTTCAGCCATTCTTCACATCTTGAGTCAGCTCCGTGACACAGCAGCAGGTTTGGAGACAGACAGGTATGTCAGGAGGCAGCCCAAATTAAACTGCAACCCTTAAAATGGGAACAAAGGGTTTCCTGACCCCTCCGTGCAGAACAGGTTTTCAAGCAGAGCCTGACTGGCTCATCTTGTACATCTCTGCCACCAAAGAAGCCCAGTTGTTGCAACAGCCAATGGCAATGACAGCAATTTGGACAAAAACCCGGACAGCGAGGATGCTGTGGAACAACACACTCCAGCAGCACTCTGAGCTATTGGTGAACCTGCTCTTTGTGCTTCCGCCGCAGACAGGCGCAGGCGGGTTTCCTTCCATCTGCCTGCACACCTCCTGCTGTGCTGCTGGGGACGGCTGGAAGAGGCTCTTCCCCATCACAAAGATGTCCTGCGGCAGCGGTGTGCCTTATGCCCTGTGACAGGACGCCTGCCTCGCTTCTGTCTGCAGGAGCAGGGAACTGATGGCTGTCAGCCCTGCGCAGCCAAGGCATGACTTCTGATTTATGTGCAGGTGGGACAGCCTCAGTGACCACCTGCTTTATTTCCCTGCGTTGCACAGCTCAGGGACGCTCCGTCTGTTCAGCTGCACGCAGAGGTTGGAGGAAGCGGTTCCAACGCGATGCTCCAGCCGAGCAACGTGAGGCATCAGAAATGCACTCACTGTGGAGTAGCAGCGCCCAAAAGCTCCCATCAGCCAGAGGAGTCCTCCTGCAGCACGTGTGCGAAAACAACCACAGAGAACCTTTCCTTCCCCTCTCCAGCGGGGACTTGAGGCAGCGAGGTGCTTCTCCCTGCTGTCTGGGTGGCAGCAGGCTGCTCACGTGGTGGGAAGTCTGCCTGCGTGTTGGGCATCCTTACCAGGCATCTCAAACACCAGAGCAGAGTGGCACTGCTTGTGCGATGCGCTGCATTCTGGCAGTGAAGTTTCACATTTCCTCACGACCGAGATTAGAATTACAGCAGCTTAAGCAGGCTTGGCTGCTCAAAAACAACAGCAAAACAATTTACGGAGGCAAAACCACCACTGAACGTGACAGCTCAGCTCCTCTTCTTGTATGTCTCTCTCACACTGGAGTGTGACACAGCAATGGTAATGATTTAGTATAGGAATTAGCAGAAATCCAAGACAACATTCCCCAAAGGGCTTCTGTCCCAGTGGAGCAGGAAGCGCCAGCCCCTTCAGAAAGCACTTTGGAGACAGCTGAGCCCTCCTCCCACAAACCCTTCTGGCAAAGGAGATGGAGCACCTGTGAAGATGCTAAATCTGTCTCCTTAAACACATGCGTTCACGCTGGTATCTCATGACCTCTTCCTGAAAAGATTGGTAAGGTCCTCAAACATCTCCCCAAGGAAAAAGGAGAAGTGCTGCCTACAGAGAACCCCAGTTCCATGTGGGATTGCTTTTCCTGTCCCCATGATTCACTCTGAGCCCCCTTTTTCCACGCTGGTCCTGGTGTCTTGGTGAGCAGGCAGGCCAGGCCAGGTCACAGGATGGGCAGCTGGTGCCAATGGAGATCCTCCCAGTACAGAACTGATCTGCCACCCCAGTGCTTGGCACAAGGCAGGACCCTGCTGTGTTAGGCTTCATTTCCCCAGCAGACTCATTGCAATAAAATTACTCCTGTAAGTACTAGGACATGTCTCTAACACTACTGTAAGAAATGTAAGTTACTCAAATTCAACTTGATGCATGTTGTTTCAACCCAAATTTTGCCTTATGCTACATGCACATACTGAAAAACATATCCAACATTGCTACTCTGTTCTCACCGCTTATGAGACCAATGGTTATTTTTTTGAACACTGAAGAGTTGCCCGAAACAGTAATACTGTTTCTGGAGTGCAATGAAAAGGGATACAGACTGTATGCAAGGCTTTGCCATCTGATTTAATCAAAAAGACTATAAACTGGTTTTACAATGATGCAGGAGCACTCAAACAAAACCAGGCTGCTTGGCCACAGGAGCACAATGCTGTGCACCCAAAACCATGTCAGTGTGGATCAACACCGTGCATCTGTGACCTCAATTTTCCACTTGAGGTTCTGTTCTGGCGAAGCCAAGCTAATTTAGAACTGGCTGGCTAAGAGAGCTGACACAAACGCTTTACTCACCAGCTGGATGGCTATCATTAATACCGTTTTCAGAGTGAACGTCCTGTCGCAGAGGTCAAACAAATCTTCCAAGCTAGGACCAAGCAGCTCCAGTACCATGGCGTTGTACTTTCCGCACGGTCCAAAATAATAAACCTGGGGAAGCCCTTCAGCTGGAAGAATATGAAAAGGATTGGAATCAGTCACTGGGACAACATAGACACCCTTTCTCCTGGGTGCAAATCTTTTGCTGTGCAAAGCCTTGGTTTTCACATCTCGAGCGTCCTTTCTGATCTTACATGGCAAGCAAATTAGTTTCAGCATGTACTGTGAATGAACCAAAGGCCAAATGAGTGCAGGCTTTGCTCGGCTACACCCTTGATTAGACAAATGGATTTCAAAGCAATAATGTGACCACATGAAAGCGCCTGGCCCTGGAAGCACAAAGGCTTGGCCTCAGCATAACCAACTCAGTGCTCCCTGCGTCACACTGAGCAGCAGGCAGAGCCACGGGCTGGCGCTCGTCTGAGCAGCCAGGAACACAAAGCCCTTGCAGAAAACGAGGTATGTTTGAAAAAGGGCTGCAGTCAAACCTAGCGAATCCCCAGCTGGGGTTACACAGCACGGTCACACAAAGCTTGCCTGCACTATATTCGTAAGAAAGAGCAGAGATTGATGTTTTCATCCATCACCACAAAGAAACAATCAGGGTCCATCCAGGGCAGAACGCAGCGCAGAGCTAACTGCTCCTCTCGCTAATCATCGGCCACCAGAACTGGGCTGCTGGTGCAGCTGTGTACCCAGCTCTGGCTGTGTATCTGCCCACGACGTGCCCAGGCAGCCGAGCCCAGTGCAGGTAAAGGCAGAGAACGCCAGAACCGGAGCGTGTCAGAAGCACAGCAGCTTCACCTACAGGTTCAGGAAAGCTCGTTAATCTGCCCAGCGGCACTAATCAACTTGCCAACAATACAATACATGAGGCACTGAGATTACCAGAGCTTAAATATTGCAGATTTTATACTCCCGTGAATTACATGAAAAGAACAAAATACAGCTCGACAAAGATTACTGAGGGATGGCTTTAATCTCGTTAAATCACATGCTCAGGGGATCATGTTAGGCATCAGTCGTCAGGACGCATTAGTGAGATATTATGGAGTATTGCAGGCATTCCCAGCCCAACCCGAGTTCGTGTCCCACATCCAGCATCTGCCCAGCACCGCCAACCTGAGCCTGGGAGGCTATTGCCCTTTGCTTTATGCTGTAGTGAGCATGAACAGCAGCAGCATCCTCTGAGAAAGCAGGGCTGTCTGACATGGAAGCGATTCCAAAAGCAACAGTGGAACCTGACCCAGGCAGCCCTGAACATTTTCCAAAATCCCCAAATAAACACAAACGGCAATTGAATGCCATCAGCCCTGTGCTGAAGGCTTGACAAGCTTAAAACAGAGACTTCTAAATTCAAGCTCTCTGCACAATATTTGCACTGCGATTTCTATGTCATGATAACAGTCCTGAAAAGTGCAAACCGGAAGGAAACCAGTCAGGCAAGGAGCGTGCTAATTATGGAGTACTGGAGAACAAATTTGCCGACAGGCTCTTAAGGAAGGCTAAGAATCTCATTCCCAGAGCAAGGGAAAAGGAATACATTTACATCCTTACTTGGTAAAGAGAGCCTGCTGCAATTAAAGTTGAATTCCTACTGGACATGAGAACCAGGAAGATAAATGGCAGCCAGGCTCCAACGACAGGGGTTTCACGTGAGAAAGGAAGCACGGCAAGCCTGAGTGCTCCCTGGGGCCCAGCCCCTGCAGTTAGCTCTGCCATCAGCTCCAAGTGCTCCGAGCCAAGAGCTTGGAGTGCCCTTCTCACTTTCACAGTGGGATTAAGCCTCGGGAAGGCTCTGCTCTAGGCAGGAGCTCCCACAAGGTGAAGCTGTAGCTAAGAACATTAAAAAAAAGCATCCTAAGTGGCAGCCTGCAGAGGACGTTATTTTAGTTTCAGGCATATTTTTAGGGTTCGATTTTCTCCGAGGGTTTTCAGCCGTGCTGCTGCCAGCTGTGCCTGCGGTCAAGAATGTACATCTTGCCTTTGCTGGAATAAAAACGCTGTCACACATCTCATTTTCAGAGGGCATCTGGAGGAATGTGACCGAGGCCGCATGGTGACCAGCCCTTCAGAGCCTCCCAGCCCCACACCATCAGCACAGTGAAGCTGGGAGGAACGCACTCTCAACTCACTAAAATTCAAGTCCATACTCAGTATTTCTTTGGGAAAGGACAAAGCTGGAAACAGGAGCTTTAACAGTAGCAGTACCTGCTTCCTGCAGGATCCAAGCGGGCAGATAAGGCTACATAATTCCAGGGTGCGTATCTGAGATGTAGGTTTCCCTGAGCCACTTCTCCCTACAAGCCTCAGAAAATCTACATAATAACTTGTTCAGAGCCCAGCTGCTCTGGATGCCCATCATTCAGAATGCAGCCCGACTATTTCTGCAACAAGCACTGTGTCCTGGTCCCACCAAGTCCACTGTCACAGTGAGCCACAGGAGCTTCAAAAATACCACCCACAGATCCCTAAATACTTAAGAAGGATATTTCCAACAAAGGAGATCGATTGCTGATGAAGGAAAAGGTATCTTTTGCCTAGGCAGTCAAACTTGAGGTTTTTAATGCAAAGCCGTTGTGTTGGCCGAGGGTTGGAAAGGTCAAAGGAAGACACTGCTGTGCAGCTGTCCTAGGGGAGGTTTGCAGTCAGAGAAGATGGAAAGCCAAAAAGAGCACAGGGCTCATCCCAAGGACTGAATGATACAACTCAACACTTCAAATACAAACCTCGACCACTTAATCCCAACTAACACACAGAATAACATCCAAACAAGGATGTTCTCCATGGCACTAAATATTAACGCAAGAAAATACATATGACACACACAGGATCGTCTTCGGAAAGAAAAGCAGCACCCTGCAGTGCACTTTGCTTAATGGCTTCCATTGTGCTGCTGAGTGATTTGGCTTGACTCTATGTAAGAGGTCCTGCTCCACCCTTACTCTTGTGGAAAGTTTATCAACCCAATAAACAGAGACTGATCACTGCACTGGAATCCATGGACAAATTCTGCTATTTCAGCAGTGCAGCGTCTTGGAAGAAATTCAAGCTGAGCACAGCGAAAACCCAGCACAGCGCTTTGGAGATTAAAGCATCACTGCCGGAATGAGACAAACGCAGACATCAAAGCCAAAACCCAGACTGCTACCACCAGGCTCCAGTGACTCCAACCCCAGGTTTCCCAAAGCGCTGAAACTGCGCAGCTCCTGGGGCTGCCACCAAAGGGATCCCAACCTCACACTGCCCTGCTGGCCTCACGTGGCCAGGAGAATGGCTGACCAAAGAAGCTTGGTGTTTGCTTGAGCTTGGACATGTGGAAGGGAACAGCAACAAACAGCAGCCCTCTTGGAGAGAGCTGCAGCTGAACTGGATGAACACCACAAAAGTACATCTCCTAGCAAGTTTCAGTCCAAGGGTCAGAAGAGCATCGCGGTCAGTTCAGGTTGTGCTGTCTTTCTGCCACATGCTTTGTGGCACGAGGAACAGCTCTAACAACCCACTGGACATTCTGTGTGCTCTAACCAGCCAGGCGGTCAGGCGTCAGCCGTGTGAGCCACACAGCCCATCCACAACTGCTTCCAGGGCCAATTACCAACTAGCAAAAGGCAGGCAGATACCAATCGAAGGGTATGCCCAAGGGAAACATTGTGTAGCAACTGCCCTACGCGGCAGGAACAAAGTGGAAACTGTCTGCAGGGGCAAATATGCCCTGATGCGAGAGCCTAGGAATAAACCTAGTACAACAGCACAACCCAAAATACACCCAAAGAAGAGGTGAGGGAGCAAGTACAGAAAGCTATGCGTGACATCCGTGGAGGTGCAAGAACAGAGTCCTCGTACATCAATTCAACAAGAAACAACCACAAGTTGTAACAGGTGAACTGTTAGCTTCCAAATCACCATTTCTTTGCTCCCGTTGGAAACTGGTTTATGTAGCCCTTAGATGTCACGCAGGCAAATGAGGAGCCGAGGTCTTCAATTTCAAGAAAGAATTAAAGTTTGATTGTTTTCTGAAGACCCGTGCAGGTTTCAAAGCTGGGAACCATTACAGAGGAAGACACGTCTACGAAAGCCCAAATGAGACACCCAAAGACAGAGGGAAGGGGAGCACTCTGACATCAAGGAACCGGCTGATGCTGGATGCAGGAAGCACGCTACGAGCAGCACAAACAAGTCCTCTTAAAACTCATCCAGAGCCACGGCAGTGCCTCTGGAGCATGAATGCACAAAAAGTTCTGTGAGATATTAAAGCAGCGCTGATGAATAGGATACAGGCTGTCACAAGATTCTCTTCCAGAGCAAAAAGGTTTATTTTTACAAATCACTGAATCAAAATTACACGATAAACAGCATAAATAGCAACTGTGCGAGAGCTGAACATTTATAGCTAAAATTGAACATGTTTCAAACAAATTAAACAAATTGCTTTAGAGTAGTCAACCCACTTAAGCTGATTACACTAATGAGGATCTACCCTTCTCTTAATTTCAAATCAGAATAAAATCCTAGCTGAAACAGAAACTTTGCCATCAACATCGACTGGGCCAACAACTCATCTGCTAACCTCTTCAAGCACCCCAGGGCAGCAGGTTTCACTCCACCTCTGCTGGTTAACAGGTTACCCCCCCCAAGCCATGTTCTGTAGGCTGAAATAACAAAGGCTCATTCTGACCTTCAGGTTTCTGAAGTATCGACTTGCAAAATAATAGTGGAGAAAAATTAAGATCAACTTGTTACTTGGAATAAAGTTACCTTAAAGGTCTTTCAAATATTTGATTGCATACATTTCAGCTTCAGGACTGAAATAAAACTTTAAGTAAAACAATTAGCACACATTGCTTCTCCTTAGCATGTCTGAGTGCAACCGGGGCAACTCCTACCAGCAGTGGGTGAAGCTGAGCTGAATGCTCTCACTCCCTGCAGTCAGTAGCAGGTACTTTGCCGTGCCCATGACAACACGCTGATGAAAATTTTGGAGTACTCTCAAAGCTGGCTGCATGACACTCAGTGGAGCTGCACTGATTTTGTGCTCGATTTCCATGCACAGGTTCTGGGATGCCCATGACTGCAGATCAGGCTGACCTTGGGGACGCAGCTGAAAACCAGTCCCTCAAACAGGCTCTCATGTGGCAGCCCCTACCTGGACCTGCAGAAGACAGCTCTGAGTAATGTGACAGTGTAAAATGAAATACATATCGTGTACAGCTTTCTGCTAAGACCACTTTGGACTACTGATATTTGAAAGAAAAACGTCCAAACTCATCTAGTGGCCATCCTCTCTCTTCTGCCAGCCTCCAAAATCCCTCTACCAGAGAGAACCAGGGAACATTTTTGCTGTGCAGGTTTCAAAGCCCAGGAGTAAAGCTAAAAGCCATAAACTAACTAACCATCGAGAATAAGGCATGGCTTTTAGATGAAAACAACTTGAACCTTCCAGGCTTTCAGTAATGAGCAGGCTGCACTGAGAGCTCCTTACAGCCTAACGCCCTTCAAGCTTTCATTTCATTTCGTTTTCTCTCAAAATCACTTCTTTCCAGTACGGTTATTTATTCGCTGTGGTTCACTCTGGGTTCAAATGATTAAGAGTAAATTTTTAACTGAACTGAGAACAGGCTCTCTTTTAATCCAAACCGCTGCAGCGGAGAATCGTTAACAGTAAGGGCTGAAAGACACCCAGGTCTGGGAGCCCAGGGAAAGGAAGCCAACATACTGCTCCAAAAATACCCTATGTTTTAACCTGATCATACGCAATTCAGCTGAAAGACTGCAGTAGTCCATGCTTAGCCCAGGAGCCCAGCACTGCACAAGTCTTCCAGAAGGACACGGCCCTATGAGCCTTCTTACGCAGATGCTGCTACGTTCCCTAACGCTGCTGTTGACTGCGTAATGCCATTTCTTTGCTGGAAGGTCCAGATCCAGGGCTGTGTGGCACTGCATTAAGAACCAGATTGTAGAACTAGTGAAACCTTTCACTGACACGTGAAACTGAACCATTCCAACCAAAGAGCCTGGGTGATGAGGACAACCCAGTCACCTCGAAGATCCCACCACTCAGATCCAGACGTGAAGAGCATCTTCCACTCACGACGAGTCCTTAGAAGAAGTAATGAAGAGCTTGATCCACCACCAGTTGTCACCAGGCACTCAACACAAGCTCAACCAAGTGCTCTTCACCTCTTCAGGAAATTTAAAATGCTGTGTTTCAATTAAGCTTTTTGTTTTGCCAACGTCTTCATGCTCCTGAGGTACATCCTTACGGACGTGCAGAGCTCTCTCCTCTGGCTGTCCTGATGGAGGTCGCAGAGGTGACCATCCTTGCTGGGTAATCACAGCTTTGTGTGCCTCCTCACAGCCGGCCGTGGTGCCGGCACTCTCTGCTCTCAGCCCCACTGATTCTGGACATTTCCATACTGCAGAGCTCCAGCCACTCGCCCTGCTACAGATGGCAGCTCTGCAGCCCTTTCACAGCATCATCACAAGCTCCTCTTATCCTTGCAGCTCCCAACATCCTTGTTGCCATTTTCTCTGACTGCTGCCAGACACTCAGCTCTCTGCCACCAGAATTCTGCAACATCTTTTTCCTGCTTCAGTTGCACTGTGGATCATCCCTTTTCCAGCAAACGCTAAGTGCTTTCATGTTACTGCCCAGCAGGACTCACTGCTTCACTGCAGCAAAGAGCCCATCAGCATCCCCAGAGACTCTGGAGGAAAAAGCAAGAGGAAGCATCCCAAATTTGTATGATAACCAATTCCCTTCCCCCGATGCTTGCCATGCAGCTGAGCTTTGGAGGAGAGGAGATGCCACCCTGCACACAGCTGTGTGCCTGCAGACAGGGCTACTTCATCTCCAACGCGTGTCTACAGCAGACTTCAAGACTCCAATTTCATTCCAGAAAGTGAGCAGATTTTGTGCCTTCTCAAGCCATACAGGATGTATTGAACCCCTGCTGTGCTGCAAGTAGCTTGTGTCTGTATCTACCAAAAAAAAAAAAGGTACAGGAAAAGGAACAGAAGAAAAACAGACGTAGTGAGGACAGAAGGAAGAACATATTTGTTCTTGCTGCTGGTAAAAATCCAAATGATTTTACTTCAGTTACAGAAAAACAATTTTCCCAATTGTTGTGTTATCAAAAGGGGCGGCGTTTCATTCTCCTGGAGCTGCACAAGCTGGTTTCCTGATAACATGGCTGGACTCCATTAGACAACTCTTCACACAGATGAAGAAAGAAGCAATTTCAGGGTGCCCAGAGGATGCCCACATTGATACTCACAAAAACCAAATCCAGTTGCGCAGATTTTGGGAAACTGATTTCTGTATTTTGTCTCTTTCACTCCAGTCTCTGCACAACTGCTGCATTTGAGGTTGGTAAAGCCTGTGCACATTCTGCTGTTCCAGCACTGGGTGCAGCTGGCACACAAGGCACCAGCTTAGCAGGAGAATCAAAACACTGCAGAACATTAGAACAGTTATTTTAAACCACCTCCAAAAGTTCCAGCTGAAGTTAACCATCTGCCTTTTCCCACGTACCTGCACACAGGGACACGGATGGGAGAATAAATCAAAAGGCTTAACACGGTGTAATTATTCCTCTAACCTCATGGTCCCGTCTGCTTTGCTTTTGGGCTTTCTTTGTGTACTCAGCAGAGGCTGTGTCTCTGCTGCAAGGCGTGGGAAGCTGCAGTGCCGCAGCTTTTGAACTGTGTGCAGGTTAAGTGCAGGGTCACAGGCAGCCCACTGACAGCGATGAGATTTGCACAGAAAGCTCTTGAGCAATTAAAACACAACCACAGTGTGAGGCAGCTTCACCAGCTGCTCTGAAGCTCCTGTACAGCAGGAACAGGTCACAGCCATCTAAACGAGCAGCTCTCGCCCCTGAAGGGGAATTAAGCAGCAGGTTTGGGGTCCTTCATTTTTTAAGAGGAATGAGGATGACCGAGGGTATTTTACCTGAATATGCTTCATTATGCCGCATGTACAACCTACAGGATACTTAAGGAAAACTAACAGCACTTCCAGGCTGCAAGAGAACACCCAGCTGCACTCAGATCTGACAGAAGCACTGGCAGAAGACACTGCTTGACTCCAGGGAGATGAAAACTGCTAAGAAAGCAGCAATAATGAGAGCCGTGTGCTGAACCACTTCTGCCATGTGGAGGAACAGTTTGGTTCGACTGCACCAACAGCCAGGTGGCCACTGCCCCTCATCAGCTCATCTCCCTTGCTGACTCCTGCCAGCACTGATGCCCAGCCTACCCACATGCCAGTGATGTACAGTGCAGTTCAGTGGCACTTGAAGCTTACAGCGTGCTGGCCAGCTGCAAAGCGAAGTGACACTGCTGCTGCTTCACAATGGGAACACAGAAGAAATTTGACAGCTGACGTTACAGCTCAGCTACGGCCCACATCTCTGTGCAGAGACCAAGAGGTGCCCCAGCCCCATTGCTACAGCAACGCACTGCCCTGCGCAAGGAGTGGCAGCAGCTGATCCAACTGCATTTGCTGCTTTGATGACAAACCAGAGCAGTCTAATTTATTTGGATAAAGCCTATCAGGCACACAGCCCCAGCTTCAAGTGACCAGGAGATAAACCAGACCTGAGCCACGCAGACCTGCCCACACTGATGCTGCATCAGAGCTGCTTTATCACAGGGCCCAACACAATGCCTGCTAAAAACCCATGAGATCACCATTGGCTCCTGCAGAAGTGTCAAACTAGTAGGTGATGGATGCTGAGTCAAACACACGTGTGCTGTCCACAGCAACTCAGGAGGCTGGCATTCATCAGCCCTACTACACAAACCGTCAGAGCGTTTGAAGGATTTGTCAGCTCTGTAGGTAATTGTTACCCACATAGTCCTTGCAGCCTGATGGAAACCTCCCATCCTCTTCTATTACAGAAAAATCTCCTGGAAAACAAAGTTCAGATGCTTTACAGGACCATCAGCCTCCCCCAGGGACAGCCCATGCTGAGCAGCACTGCTCCATCCCATGTGGAGGCAGTGGCTCATCTCCTTGAGACAGGAGGAAGAGGAGGGCGTTGTGAACAGCAGGCAGGGCAGAGCTTGGAGAACACAAACCACACCTATCAACTATCAGCTGTTCTGAGAGGCAGGCAGCCCCCTACCCTTTGCACCCCATGCTCACCTGTGTGCAACCTCCCTGGCACAGTTTTCTCTTTCTGCCCTGCCACAAACAGAGGATGCTCCTGGGGCTTTGGGACTGCTGCCACAAATACCAGAAGAGCAGGAGACAGAAGAAGACTTCTTGAAATATAAAAAGGAAGCTGCTCATATTCAAATATTAATGGGCCTTGCTTTAATAACATCTGATAGCTTTCAATTGGCAAAGCCTAAATTTAGCCCAAGGAAGTTTTCTCATGTTAAAAGAGCTGTTAAAGTGTACATGTTCAATAAGCCCTTCCAAGCAAGGGAACCACCACACTTTCAGATAGTGAAGCATTGCCCCTCATTGCTCCACAGCAAGCCTGCTTTCAAAGGCAGGCTGGAGCTGGGGGGGCTGCAATTCCCCACTGTGTTTCATTCTGTAAATCACGAGCTCTGAACTCACAGACCCCACCAGCTCCACATCTCATCAGATGACACGGAAATGCTTGGAGCTGTCCACCACATTCTTCAAGGGCACAGCTAACTCTGCTGCGGCCTCCCATGCGTTGTGATTTTGTTGCAAAAAATCATTTTTTTATTTGAATGAAACCTTACCTGTCACCACTCCTTGCTGAGGCACCTCAGACCTATCTTCAGTGGCAAGTTTCTTCACAACACCTTGCAAGATTTGAGAATGAAGGTAAAGAGCTTTTGCTTGCTGTTAGAAAAAAAACCAATAGCTTAAAAGGAATGCGAGCGTCTGCGCCAGGGATTGAAGCAGGGAACTGTTCAAACATGGGACTGGGATCCGAAGAAGCAAGTTGCTTTTGGTGCAAATGGATGTCAATTTGGTATTACCAGGCAATCTTGCATTAGGCCTCACTTACACAGCCCTGCACTGCTGCAGCTCCTGCGGGGAAAAGCGTTGCAGGCAGGGAGCTCCCCATAAAGCAGCAGGCACGGCAGCACGCTCCTCCACAGCACCTTGTTTACTCCCATCTGCACAAGTCGCTCTGTAATGACCCCTGCCTAATTGCTGCTGAATGGCAGCGTTGTGAAACCGGCACGGAAAGAATTTCTCTCCCGAGACTGGTACACAGGGAGTGTGCAGCAGGACATGGGCAGCGCAAGAGCAACACAGGAAGAGAGAAATGCGCGCAATGTAGGCAGTCCTGAAGAGCAACTCAAGATGCAGAACGGAGCGGCAGGCAGCTACACTGAAAAATAGACATGCAAATATTGACTGAAAGGCTCAGTTATTTACACCACCTTCATTTTTCTTGATCCCGCTTCCTGACAAGTAAACAGACTGCTTCACTCCTGCAAGTTGTGCAACAGAAAGAGGTCCAAAAGTAAACACACAGACTCGGTATTTCATTAGAGGTGAATTTGTTTACAGAGCAAGAACTACAACAAAACTACAGAACCCTTCCACGTTCTATATGTACCAGAACTTCCCTCCCTGGCTCAGTATATTCTGCTGTGACTCATGTGCCGCGTGGGCCGGGAACGCAGCAGAGATGTTCTCTGTTTCCTGGGATTCTCCTGTGTACGATTCCTCTCCAACGCAGCGCTGTGGAGCCGATTCGTGCGCGATCCCCCCGGCCAGCGGCTCCCGCCGCCGGGGAGCAGCACGGCTGGTGTGTGAAAGCAGGAGCACGTGCTGCAATGAATCACATGTGCCAAGGTGGGACTGCGAGGGCGCGGGGACGGCGTGACTCATCTGCCAGCTGAGAGGGAGCGCAGTTACCGCTGAAACCAAGTGCTGCACCTCCCTGCGCACCGCGCGCAGGCAGAAGCTGTCACTATGCAGGAACCTGGGGGCAGAAGGAACCTCCCAAACGTGGGGCTCGTGGGGCAGGCGCAGCTCACATCCCTGATCACCACATAGAGCCACAGACGCTCTGAGGAAAGCTCAGCCCTGCACCGCTGCTGGTCACTGCCGGCAGGCAGCACTTCCTGGCCTCGGTGAATTATTCAGTTGCGTAGAAGCAAGAGACCAAAAAGCGGTTTCCTGAGTGCTTGGAGATGTTTTTCAGCCACGATCACATCCTCGGAGAGAGGAATGGGGCTAAGAGCAACATGGGAACGTCACGCAGCAGCGGGCTCCCCACCCCCAAGGAAAGCTGGCTGCACAAACCGACGGGGCTTTAGGGAAACAGTAGCTCGGGCTTTGCAATGATACATCCATGCATATATCTCAATGACGTTTGCCTCAGCTACTCAGCACAGCAAGGTTTAGAGGAGATAAATCTTGTTGCCCTCCAACCAGAGCTGGACAGCAACAAAGCTTTTGGACAATGCTTGCCTCAAGGGCTGAGCCTTTGGCTTCCATTTCAGGTGAGCTGCATTGCAAACAATGGCAGCAGGACCAGGAGAGACCTCAGCTCTGTGGCTGCACAGGAACACAGCAGAGCTTCGGACACCTCTGCAGCACATCAAACTATGTGGAATGGCTTCGAGCTGTGTCTCCAGGAGAAATACAGAGGTCCCAGACTCCCCCCAGTCTATAATTCCTTCTGAAGTAATGACTGGTGTTTAAAGATGTCCTAAGACATCTCTATGTCCACTTGTATCAGCTCATCAGCTCCCAGCAACTTAACTACAGCAGGAAACACAGCAGTGATTTAACTTTTCAAATTCAAAGCACATTTAAAGCACTTTCTAGCAGTGATGAGATCAGGAGGATCCACCTTCCAATACAGCAGGCTTGAGCAGTGCCACATACCCCATCACCATCCCAGATTGTGATCAGAGCAGTCAGTAAACAGGAGAGTCCAGTATCTCCACACCCAGCTGGCTGGAACTGCCAGCAGATACAAAGGAGGAGCTGCTGCAGATTGCTGCCAAAATCCAAGTGATGGGACAGAGATAAAAACATGGCCACATTCTCCTGCCCTAATATCCATGTTACACATAGGAAAGAGCAGCTCAATCAAAAGGCTGAAGACTGAGTAAGACTGGGAAATAGAGGCACTATTTTGTTGATTAGGAAAAAAAAAAAAAAAAAAAAAGAATTCCCAGTAAAAATTTTGGAGAAGTTAGTCTCCCTGGTAAGTCTGTAGGAGTTTAACCTGAAGGAAAGGTGAGAATGTGGAATTCACCTGAAATAAGACTGAAAAGAACCCTGGGATGCTGCTGTGTGAGCAGGGGGCAGCTGGAGCAGAGCAAATGCTTTGTCCGGAGAGCTGTGATGACCACATCCCCAGAGGTGCCCAAGACCACAAGAAGGCCCTGTGCAGCCTGAGCTGGTGGGAGGCAGCCAGCCCAGGGTAGTGCTGGGGGGCTTTAAGGTCCCTTCCAACCCAACTCATTCTGGGATTCTATAATATGATTCTTTTATGCCTCCTGGTAAACAGCACAGGAAACACAACCATCTTAAGGAGCTCAGAGCTGCGTCTATTCGGCCATGGTGAAAGTAGCCCCATCCTGCTCTGCCAACACCAGCCTTCTCCACCCCAGTACTTACAGAGAATCAGACACATCAGCCTGCAAGGAGATGATGCTCCTCCATGCATCATCTTACAAGCAGAAGGGCCTGATGATTCCCTACAGACATAGCAGAGGCGACAGGAGACACAGCAGCACCCTGTCAGGTCAGAGGTGAGCTCGCCTTGTGCCCGAGGTGTGGAAGAAGCAGACCTCGCTGGCTGTACCAGAGCTGAGTTTTGGGAATACCCATCATGCTTGGATGTACGTGGACAGCTGTGCCATTCACATTAATTCACAGGTAGGTATCCAGCACAAAAAAAATAAAATGAAATCAGGGCTGACACAGGCATCCTTGGCACCAGCAGAAGGAGACATGCAGCAGGCGGCCCCGGCCAGAGGCTGGGCAGCAGGATGTCCATGCACATTCATCTGCAGTGTACAACAAAGAACCACTCTGAAAGAGTTTTTTGTTGGCTTGTTTGTTGTTTTTCCCCTTGTTTCACTGCCTACGTTAAGGTATAGCAGTCATACACTACTTTAGGCTGTTAAATATTTAATTCCACAGTGAGACAGAAGAAACAAGCAGATGGTCTCTGCACAGCAGGTCCCTGCGTCTTCATTCAGGGGCAGGAAAGTTAACTGAATAACGAGGAAGAACACATCCTTATTTCCAACAGCTGCCATGTAAACCCCGGCGCTGTGCCAGAGGGTAGAAAAAGAGCTGAGGTCAAACAGAGCAGCTCTTGGGCACTGGCTGCCTCTGCATCCCCACTGGTAAATCAGCTTCTTGTGAACACATCTAATTATACACACCAGAGATGAACTGTATCATTATAGACACTCCACAAGAATGTTCCTATCTGACCTGTGGCAAGCTGGTCCCTTCCACACTAACTTCTATGATTTAGCAGTAATGCAATTCAGAAGAGTTGAAGCTTTTGAAGCAAGGACCTTTCCAGGGAGTGTGGCATTAAAAGCATTGCCGAGATCAATCCAACTATTTCTCTAAAGTCAGCACATATGCAGCACCAGCTTGTTTTTGCAGAGGATCTTCCCCGAATTCTCAGCTTGGTGTGCAGACATCAAGAGAAGACTCCATGATCCTGGCAGTCTGGCTCCACTAAAATTTGTTTTGTTAAGCTTCCAGATTTTGTGGAGACAGAGATACGGCTCACATCCTCCACCCTGAACTCCTGGCCTGTTTGCACCTGTTTCAGCAAAACACAAGAGCTTCTAATGGCATCCAACAGGTTGGCGGAGCAGAGTTTGTGATCCTGTGGGACCACACAGAGGAAGAAAGAGAAGTCATGTCCTTCAGGAGTTCTCCTAACACACTCTTGGCAATAAAAACAAAACTTGAGATGGCAGTTATCCCCCCATGGAATGATGAGAACAGATCCTAAAGGCAAGATTCCCATGTCTGTTCCACCAGCATGCAAAGGATCAGGCAAGGCAGAAATCTGGGTGAATGTTGTAGGATGAAGGTTTAAATTCATAAGATTGTTTTCTCCTGCTTGACAGGAAATGAGCTATGGTAAAACAAACAAAACACCTTCATGCAACCACAGTAAAGCCCCCTACATTCCATTGGTTTACAAATTTCTCAGTAGTATTTTTAAAGAGAGGTAGAAAGCTGGAAAGTGGAGAAAAAGCATATTGGGATTTGAGCCCACCAAGAGAGTCACTCACTGGGGTATGCTGATGCAAGCATCAACAAAACTCAACCAGGGAAGGAAAGGTGGAGTTAGATGTCTCACCGTGTGAACCTGTGTTTGACATATTCACTTACAAAGGCCACAGCAGAAATGCACTAAGTCTCAAAAGCACAGGGAGCTGGAGTTAAGTGCTGATGGCATTAACCTATCAGCTTTGTGTGCAACAGGATGCAAATACCAGAATACAAAGTGCACAGACAAGAGCACCGTATTTCAGTGATAAGTTCTGTTTAAAAAAAATAAAACCAAAACAACAAGAAACAAAACATCACTTCAGTATTTCCAATAGTAATAGCTCACGTTGCTCCTACTACCAGAATTTGCATGCTAAAAGAGAAAAGTCATTAAAAAGTGCAATAGCATCTCAGCCACCAGAGGACAAAATTCAGGAAACTAATTAGAAGAACTAACTCAACAAGCAAAATAAAGCTGCGTGATGACTGCTCAGGTCCCACGTAGCACGAACTCAGAGCAGGTCTTTCACTTTCTTCAACTTGGTATTTTGTTGGTGGTGTGAGAGCACATCCTCTGCAAGAGGAACCTGTGCCATCCAGGCAAAATGGCACAAAAAATCAGGAGTGTAAGAAAAACAACAATCCTCACTAACACAGTAATCATTTTACTAATGAGAGATTCTAGGTCTGAATGATTGTCCAATTATTACCGCGATATTGTGACCAAAACTTCTCCAAAAGCACGTGTGGCAATAAAATAATCTGCCCCAATCCCACAGAATCGCAGGGTTTGGAAAGGATCTCAAGAGATCGTTGAGTCCAAGCCCCTGCTAAAGCAGCTCCTACAACAGGTCACATAGGTCGGTGCCCAGATGGATCTTGAATATCTCCACGGAAGGAAACTGCACCACCTCTCTGGGCAGCCTGTTCCAGCGCTCCACCACCCTTACCATAAAGCAGTTCTTCTGCATGGCACTGCAGAGCTCCCTGCATTCAGGCTGTAGGCCGCTGCTCCTTGTCCTGTCACTGCACACAGCCAAGAAGAGCCTGCCCTCACCCATTTGCCTCCCACCTCCCTTCACATATTTACAAATATTTATCAGATCCCCTCTCAGTTTTCTTTCCCCCATGCTGAACAGACCCAGGTCACTCCACCTTTCCTCATTAGGGAGATGCTCCATGCCCTTCAGCATCAGGAAATCAGGAAATTCTTGTCAGAGATGCACAACACACACGATGGTAACGTTTGACTGCATAAAGAAATTACAAACCTCCTATAAGCTTAAGGCAGCTTTACTTACCTGCACTTCCAAGCTGTTTGTAAAATCTGTATTCTAAATGGAGTTGTGGTGCACGTGATTTTATTGGTTCCTAGAAGAGAAGAAAAAAACGCCACCTGAAATATTTTGACTGAAAAAAGTACTTAAAGTTCTGTGACCATAAAGACTGCTTCACGTTTCAAGATAAAACGCCTTAGGAGTCTAACAATAGACTTCATCATTAGACATCATTTAAATAAACAGAGAACAGAAAGTAAAAGCAGGAAGACTTGCAGTATGCACTCCAGAACAACTTTGCTGGAAGCGCAATAACTTCCTTGTTAAAGAGAAACTAAAAACAGAACTCATTCATGGAAGTGACATTCAAAACTTGTCCATCGAAGCTGCTGATCCTTGCAGGACGACGCTGACCAGGCAGGACAGAGGCAGGAAAGTCATGGCTGAGAAAGGTTAAGCCACAAGTTGAGCCTATGGACTTACGTCTGCCCACAGTGCTGTTGGTCACTAGCCTGCATTTCTGTGACACAGCGAGTCATATGCCGTGCCTGGAGTTGCATAAAGGCGTAGCACAGCAGCAAGCTCAGCAGAGATCTGATAGAAACACGGGAGCAAGGCTCCTCCTTCACTGGCAGGTGCCATTCAAACATTTTAAAGCACTCAAGAATATTGTTTTTACACACGGGATAAAAAAAATGGATAAGCCTGCAGTGCATCCAAACCAGCACATCTCTCAACTGCCACTTCACGCACAAAACTTAATGCCTACGATCTATAATGCATTAACATGCATGATTACAGAGCTTCTAAAAAATATGAGCTTAACACAGAGAGGATTAAGAGACTTGAGTAATTACATTTTCCATAGAACTGCACCTGGGGTAGCCAATGATGCGGACTGTTCCAGCCTCAGCTTATGCTGTTGTTCTCTTCTGTACGAGAAGACAAATGCTGCGTGCACAAACCACATGAAATCCATCCAACGGCATCAGCACCAGTCTGAATCTCAAACACTTGCTGAAAAGCCCCAAGGCGCTGCTACGCATCAGCTCCAGAGTTACAGGAGGATGCTCAACGGAGTCAGGAGCTTGTGCTGGCACCTTCAGCACTCTCAGCTGGCTCTTCAGCCTGCACAGGAGACTTGAAGCTTCAGCAGATCCCTGTCTTATTTCGTTTAAGATTAATGCCCATGTTTGCTACAAATTTCACCTTAAAGACTTATCTTCAAGTCAAAGAGCCATTTTTGTACAGGAATTCAGCCAAGAGACCTTCCAGCCAAGCTGTTCGGCACTTGTTCAAGTTATCCCCTCTGTAGCCAGCAAGGGGAATATCACTCCTGTCTGCTTCTTGACTATGCCATTTACAAGGTTCAGCAGTGCAATATGGCCAACTACTTAAAAAACACTTCAAAAACCTTCACTGAAGGCAAATACAAAGAAACACAAAGCCCATTGCTATACAAGCCACAGTTAAGTGAAAATAACTGCCAACATCAGTTTAAGACTTCAGAGGCCTCCACAGCAAAGTGATTTAGGGCAACAGGAACTCAAGCCTATTCAGTGTGCAGTTCATCTGTTCCAGCAGGCAGAGGGACTAATGTGTGAGGACATGAGGCTGCTTGTGACAAGCAGGGCAAGACATGCCTGAGCCTCTCTGCATCAGGAGCAGCTCTGGACACTCGCCCGCCACGGCAGCTTCCAAGCAGATCGCAGCACAGCAGATGGTTGTTCTGCAGGCCAAGGGCTTAGGGGTGCTGGCAGATGCTGCATTTGTGCTGAAAAGCAGGGAATTGCTGCTGCCTAGCATATAAAACCCACAGCTCAAACTGACAGGCAGCAGCAGCAGCTTGGTAGAAACTCCTGCCACGTGCAAGTCAGCATTAAAAGCCCTCAATAGTTTAAGCCAACAAACACAGCTAACACACGGCACGTCAGCTCCAAAAGACCTCCAGCTGAGAGCAGGAGCTGCACGGGGACCCACGGTGTCAGAGCACAGGCAGTGCTCCCCGCTCACCGAGATGCAGCACACCTCAGAAATCCGCACCCCAAAGACAAACCAACAGAGGTTAGCACAGAACGTCACAGCATTTTCTGATCAACTCGTTGGCATCTGCAGCGTAATTCTCTAATCTGCCCTCCATTCATCTTCAACAAGAGGAACAAAACACTGAGACAGAAGGGCTGCAGTGCAGGAGAATCTCAAGCAGCTCAAAGGATTTGAAGTAGAGTTTTGAGTTGGAAAAAGTAGGAAATGTTGCCTTCAGCGCAGCAAACTCAGACACTAGTCTGCAGATTACCTGAAGGATAAAGAATATCTTTGGAAATTTATCAAGTTGCTACAAAAAAGTTAAAAACAAGAAGAAAAATGCAGGTATTCCCAAGGGAGGAAAGCAAAACTATTTACAACAGTTCTTAGTCTCAAGCTTCCCTGGCTTTTTCATCCCCCAAGAAAATTACATGATTTAATCTATCTTGGTAAACGCAATATAATTTAGAAAAACATTTGAAAAACTGGAAGATTTCTTTTGTCCAAGTCTCAGAAAGGCACACAGACAACAGCACTAAGTCAATTTGTTCATTAATTCCTTGCATGACATTATCCGGAGCTGAAGTAGGGCTGCCTCAAAGCTCTGCCTGTCAAAAGAAGCACTTCTTCCCTTTGTATCTTTGAAAGCAAAATCAAATTAGAAGCATTATCGATTCAATGGCACAGCCAGTCTGCTCGCACAAGTGCATTTTCTGTTGTCAGATCTGCCCACAAAGAAAGCTACACAACAAGCGCCGGCCCTTCCTCCCGGTCTGGCTCCATCCCCAAACATCCCGTAGCTGTTATTCAGTTATTTTAGGGAATATCTTCTGATATTTGCCAGCATGCTTCAAAACGAGTCCCTCCTGCAACGTGCTAATTATTTTTCCATCTACTCTGCACCATATAAAGGGAACACCAGAGATGTAGGATCTGCGGCATCTGAACACGAATCAGAATTAATGCACCAAATCCATCTTGATCTTCTGTAACACCAATGACTCCTGTCATTTTGCCAGACACGGGCTGGGAAAACAGGCACGCTTGCTGCTCATGTCAAATCAGCATTACAACTTTAACTTCAAATTCTAGGGTTTGAATCTGTGATTAAAGAGCACAGAGATGAGAAAAGAGCACTGGGTATTTTCAGCAAAACCCCAAGCAACTAATGAAAGTTTTAGTTTACAGGCAGAAAAAGTGAAGGCACTGACTCCTGGGGTGACTTTAGAAATCTGGCAGAGAGTTAGAGAGCTTCCCCGTGCCCAGGACTCCTGCTAACAAAGGTTGTGGCTGCGTGTCCTTGGATGTCTGAGTCCGTGAGGGGAAGGCCTGACCTTGGCTGGATTGGAGCTCGCTTGGCTTGTTGCATTCACATGGTCACAACCTGGAGAATCAACGGGAATTCAGAGCAGAACAGCTCAGCCCTGGGGCTTGGAAGGGGTGACAGACCTCCACCAGGGCCGTCCCCTCAGGAAGGAGGTGATCACAGCTTCTGACAGACCAGAAACAAGCAGCAGGAGAAGGGCTGGGAGCTGCTCTTTTTCAGAGCTCTGCAAGAACTTCTCTGTTCATTTCCGTTCACCTGGCTGGGATTGAGCACGCCAAGTGGGGAAGCTGCTTTTTCCTCTCAGTTTCTAGCACTAGGTACAATGCATTTCAAAACACCCAAAGCTTCCACTTACCAGTTTGATCGCTACATATTCATTGGTGTAGAGATTTTTGCCTGTGAAGAAAGAAAGACATCTTTTAGTTGCACAATAGAGACAACGCTGAGGAGTGCCATCGGCTGCAGAGATCTGGCTTCTCAACTACCCTCTCAAATTCAAATTCATGCCTCCAACACAGTGCAAATCTCAAAACCAGGGCAGGCGCTACCTTTCATTCAGCATAAGGTAACTGTGTTTTATGGCAGCACTTCTGTTTGGTACATCTGAGGAAATATCCCAGGCACACTTGTTCTCTGCATTATCATTAAAAAAAAAAAAAAAAAAAAAGGGGGGGGGGGGAAAAAGTTGATTCTGCTGGACAAAAAGCAACTTCATGCTGCGATCTATAGGGAGTTTCACCAGCGTAGTTGTGCAGCGTGTCAAAGAGATTGCTACAAGGAGGCAAAGAAAAGAACTTGTGTACCAACAGAGCTTTCATTTCTTCCTCTACAAACAGGCAGGCAGTGTATGCAAAACGCCTTCTTTGGGGCAGCAGCACAAAGGCAGTCCTCCTCATGGAATAACGCCCTCAGCTCAACGCAGGAGCAGCGGAGCACACGGCTGCTCCCAGGAGTAACACAGCACTGAGAACAAAAGTCATTCCTGAGACACCCAGCACGCAGCAGTGCTTGGTCTGACACAGCCCTGGGGAGGAGGAACGCCAAGCACTAGGATGGGTTTAACCAGGCCAGCACGCTGCCTTACCCTCACCCTTACAACACTTTTTTTGTTGTTGTTTGTCCCCATTTCTTTAGATCTGTCATTAAAAGCTGGTGAAAGTCAGCTGTGCAGATGCATGGGGAATGTATAAACACTGGGAGGTGGCACAGCCTGGAGGAGCCTGGGGGCAGAAGCAGCAGACAAGCAGGTGGCAGGATAAAGGGCAGCACCTTCCCAGACGGTAAGGACCCTGGCCAGATGCTACCCAAGGGCTAGCAGGGGGAAATCTGCTCAGGCATTAAGAGAAGGCAGCCTAAATACACTTGGTTATATGCTCTCTGCTAGCAACCAGAAATGAGTCACATCAGCAGCTCCAGCTGTAGCTCGCCCACAGACATTTTTCCCTCCCCCCTCCCAGGGGATTGAACTCACACTGAGAAGCACGATTTGAGGACGCTGGGCCATAACAGGGGAAGCTCCAGCCCAAGTAATGAGAAAGTCATGTGCTTTACACTGCAAGACAGTTTTGATAAGGCCGTTCCCAGCTAATGCAGTCGAGATGATCCAACTAACTTTTGTGGTAACAAAAGCCCCCCAAGTTCAGGCAAAGCTTTTGATGGGGCAGCAATAAAGTCCGTGCCTCAGTTTTGAGCCGTCTCACAGCCAATGAAGATCTACACATCCTAATGAGGAGCGACTTGTTAAGTCACCAGCGCTCACACAGGAAGCCTTGCAGTGCGCTTTTCCCTAGCAAAAAAATGGCTCAGGGCGTGGATCTGACCTCTAAGCCACTCTTACCTACCCCACTGCTGAGATTCCAGGCTGGATGTGGCTCTGGGCAGCCTGCTCTGGTGGTTGGCAACATAGCAGGGGGGTTGGAACTAGATGGTCGTTGTGGTCCCTTTCAACCCAGGCCATTCTATGATGCTACGATCTTTGGCCAACCCAAGCACATCTCAGACCAACCCCTGACTTCAGAACACTATGCAACTTCTCCAGGTATGACCCTTCTCTTTGGTGCAGTAGCTTATTGAGGGGACAGAACCAGCAGACAGGGACAACTCCCCAAACATTGTTTTAGTCTTCCCTCAAACCAGGAAAAAAGCTGCTTTCACTTTTTTAATGTAGAGTTTTGGAAGTGCCAGGTTATGTTTGCACTGGAGCAAAAAGATCTGGGCTCCACTCTTTCCACGGTTCAGATGTTAAGTAAATACAGACGTGATAGCCAGTGCACTGAACCTGCCTATGGGTTGTAAAACCTCACAGGTTTTTCCAGTGAAGACGGCAAAAATCCAGTTGGTTACTCCGTGAGTCAGCCTGAGGAGTTCAGCCCCAGAGCCTGTGCAGCCTGTCCAAGGAACAGCCATAGGATAACATCATTTCAGCTCACTGTGGTCCAGGTGCTGATGTTTGTGCACATCTCCTTCTCATCTCAGCCTGCCATCCCACTGCTCTGCTCCCATGTGACAAACAGCTTCAAAAAAGTAACATCCCTGGGGCTATCTCTATTTGCAGCAAGAGATCAACGCTGAGCAGCTAACCTGACACTCACAGAACAGCTTCCCTCCCCCAAACCAAGCAAAAAGAAGAGGGCATGTCATTCATCTTTGCAGGACAAAGCTGTTATCAGAGACTTGTTTGCTCATATTGTGGAAAAGCTGCTTCGCCTTTCCCACAGCACAACCCAGCAATAATTATCATCACATCTGTGCGATAGGAAGATCCAATAATTAACCAAAGAGGAGTTCTTAAAGCTATAGTGGCTGCAAAAAGTAGTAAGTTTTATAAAATGCAGAGCTTCTACGCAGACTTCATGCCTAATTGCCATTATCTGCATCTATTTGTGTCTGTTACCCAAACGCAGCTGCTACAGCACACTTGGTTAATGCAGATCAACAAAACAGCGCACCAAAAATACCTCTACCCCCAGTGAAAATCAACAAAACAAGGAGCACTTGATTAACAGGTGTTGCTTTTTCCCTGGTTGAAACTGAATTTCTGTGTAAACTGATGTTTTCAGAAGCGAAATCTCTTGTCAGAGATCCAGTCAGAAATCCAGTGCCTCCTGGAACAAAACACGACAAAACAGGACTGCGAAGACGAAAAATCAGACTTTGGGCTCCAGCTGAACAAAAGCAGGAAGCGTTTACCTGGGGGATCCTATAAAGCTGCTGAGCACCCAGTGCTGTTTGGATTACAAAGCAATTCTACGGCTCTTCCCACAGGGCCATTTGCTATTGGGAGTTGGTTGGAAACGCAACGGTGCTATGCAAGCTGTGTTACTATAAGGATCCAGACTGCACTACCATCTGCTGACTGCACTACCTTCTGCTGCCAGCAATGCTCATTCACATTCAGGAAGTTGGGAAGTTCTGTCCCTCCTACCATTTCTTTCTGCCTTTGGAGCACTATCTCGGCTCTTGCAAATCAATAAAACTGATGCAGCGCTGAAACCAAGCCTACCCATTTACCAAGGCAGATCGTAAATTAGTTAGCCTTCATCCTGGAAGAAGTGGCACGTCTTACGGATGCCACAAACCATGCAGTGAAAGATGAATCACACACAGATTCAGAACAGGAATCTCAGATGCTCTCAGCAGTTAAGTATTCTTGAAGCAACCACCTCAGTTTATCTATGGTCCCTCCTACCTCACGTGCAGACTATTTCAATGCTAAACACATACCAAGCTTTGGGCAAATGGTATTTGTGTCAGATAGCCTGCTTTCAGCACCTTCCAGTTTATTAGCACTGCAAACCACCTTGTTCAGCAAAAATACGGGAAATGCAGCTGTTCTAAGTCAAGACCACTGCAAGCTGCTGCTTCTGATCTGAAAAAGCCACTCCAAAACCACACACTGGGAGCTCAGAAGCATGTAATTAAAAACACCGTCTGCTTCCCCCACCTCATTTCAGACCCAACCAAATGCATCTTTTGTCTGAGATGACTTACGAGCCCAATGCACTGCACTCCGCAAGGCCATCTGTCTGGGCGACCAGCTGCAAGGCACGCAGTTAGCAGACCAGTGGACCAAGGGAAAAAAACAAACAACCGAGGGCTGCTGGGTTGGTTCAGCTGCCACAATGCAGCAGCCATATGGCTGCTCCACTCATCGCCGGGGAGTCAAACGCAGTGAGACAGATCAGGGAGCGGGAGAAGGGGCAGAAACTGGGGCGCTGTGACTAGTGAGGGTCATGGAGCAGGGAGGATGCAGCTGAATGCTGGAAAGGAGGGCACACTGACGCTTGGTAGGGCATCCTAACTTAAGGAGGAGAGACTGAGAGCAAGATTTAGCAATCCAGACAGTTAGGAATATTTTTCACCTTAGGCAAGACATTCAGTGTTGAGAACAGTCTTCGTTGTTGGGATTGTTCAGAATTTGCATCTCTGGCCTCTCCAATGTATTCCCTTTGACTTTATGCAAATCAGAATAACACAAATAAGAACAACGCGTTACATCTTCTGAGTCAGAAGCTTCAGGTAAGGTAGCTCGGCACTTGGCAAACAAGGACAAGCGCTTGCTTTTCTCAAGCCAGGGTAAGCTTTTACATATTTATATTCCAGTGGTGAAATGCTAATCTGAGTAATGCAGGCCACTAAAACTGTTACTCCTTACCTAGTCTGAGCTCGCCAAAGTTCCCACACCCAATCTTCTTGCCCACTCTGAAGTTGGGTCCCACCATAAGAACACCAGAAGACGCAGATGAGCTCGGCCGAGAGCCGTGACTGCTCCTCCCTGGCATCCCTTTCGTCGTCCGCTGCCTTTCATCCTTTTCCCTATTGGGATGGTCCATGATCTTAGTAAAGCACCTCTGCCAGCAAGCTGGCAGAAAGGGAGGTGAGCGTGCACTCTTCTCCTTGGAACAGAAATCTATATATAATCCAAAAGTATCTCAGTCAGGATCCAAGAGTATCGTGGAAATGCATGGAGTTCTTTTGGCACCGTATCCAGTTTCTTAATGCATCATTATGAAGTACCAACCAGTTGATTGTGATCTTGAGGACTCAAGGCAAGCTGCTTTTGGTTTCTCACCTGGGGAAAAGAAAAAAGATAAGTAACATAAAAATCATTATTTTAAAACAGAAAGCAAAGTGCACAACGTGGCAAACCTCCAGCATCTTCTGGAGCTATTTAGCTCTTGAGGAAATTAACAGCTCTGTAGGAACTTTATCATTTCTTAACAATTTCTGATTAAGAACATCACGATAAGAAGTGCTGCCTGTCCACCACTTGCTATTGGAGTTAGCAGGACTGGCACCACATATTTCAAGTTATTTCCAGGTGGAAGCTGCATGGTAATCGTGCCTTATCTTTCAAGCCACTGGGAAGTGTAAAGTACAAAGAGAAATCAAACATCTGTAAACTATCACACAAGCAATATAAAGAACAGAAAGCAGCAAAGGTGCCAAGAGAAAAATACCCTTATGTGCTTATAGCTACAGGCATCTACCACACTGAAGAGTCAAATTCTACTTTACAACTCTTAAAGATAACCCCCAACATATTTGCTGATTGAAATCAGCATATTTGAGAGATGACCAAAGAGTGGATCGAGGCAACATTATTTAAAAAAAGCTACAAATTTGCCAAGAGCTGTCTGAGCATACAGACCACTGTTGTAACATATCCACGGAAAGAAGAATTCTCTTCTGTGGTCAGATGAAACTCCTACCACTCAAAAGGGAAACCCTAAAGTCTCTGCAGCACAGCACCAGCAGTGGTGGGCAACCCCAGACGCTCAGCAGGACGAGCAGAAGCAGCATGCTGGGGGGTTGTAGTGCAGTTCTTAAACAAGAAATTGCTACTACAATGAGCACACCTGGAAATGTCCTCCACCTCACAGGACCTACACACACACTGGTTGAGTTCCTTTACAAGACACCAGTGAACTGCAAGTTCTCCAGAGGCGATACCTGAATGACTTTGGAAACAAGGCCTGTGCCCTACTTCTGTGCGCATGGTGAAGTTCCAGAGTTTGTATGAAGGCTGGGAAACACCACCAAGGTGAACAGAGACACTGCATGAAACCAGCCAGCAAGAGTCATAGTGGGAGCACATCAGCAATAGAACACTGCCAGGTACACCCAATAATCCAACAGTATTTATGAAGGTTCAAAAGTTACTAAGGAAACAGGCTCAGTCCTCCTGCAGTAATAATACCTTGGTTGCTCTAAGAGTAATGTCTTCTATTTACTTCAGTAGAATCACAGACTCATGGCCTGGGTTGAAAAGGACACAGTGCTCATGTAGTTCCAACCCCTGCTGTGTGCAGGTCACCAACCAGCAGCCCAGGCTACCCAGAGCCACATCCAGCCTGGCCCTGAATGCCTGCAGGGATGGGGCATCACAGCCTCCTTGGGCAGCCTGTTCAGGTGTGCAGCTCCAGGAACTACAGCAGATATAAAGAGCACAGTAACACAGATTTCCAACACTCTCAGCCATTAGCTGTGCATTTTTGGCAGCAATGAATGAGAACCCGCACGCCCTACCTGTAAAAGCCCGCACCAGCAGAGGTGGCCCACTGTTTCACAGCTGCTGTGACAGTATCATTACCAGGAAAATGCTGCCCACACAGCCCATTCTGAACAGATGGAAGTCAGAATGCACCAAGTCCAGACTATACGGTGGGGGCGGTAGGACAGTCCAGCCAAGATCAGCAACGCATTCACAGTCTTTAAACTGGAATGAGGCCTGGTGCCATCGTGCTGCAAGGGAAAGCTCAACTTCTCCTCTGCCTCCTCCAGCAAGTCTGAGCCTTCAGCTCAGTCAGTTCCCTGACACTGAGATCAGAGTTGATACTTCGTCCAGGCTGCAGGAAATCCAGAAGGGTCACCCCTTTTCTAGAAGACAGGGCACGGAGGAATTCAATTCCACTCTTTGCTCCATCTGCACTTCCATGTCAGACACCATTCTGTCAGTGCCCCTCTGCAGACACCTGTCACAGCAACAACACGTGATGGAAAAATGGTGAGAAGGCTCAGCCTCTACTGCCACAGCACCCACATCAGCCTCTGACATCATGGGCCAGCATCACCAAATAAGAGGCACGACTTTCAGAGCAGCCCTCATACATCAGAAGGCTATTTTTCAGAGAATTTAGCAGTGTTTTTCTTGGCTGTTTCATGAGATGAAGCCAACCCACCTACTTCCAGCCCTCCAACACTAAAAGACAGGAGTTATTACCCATTCACAGAGCAGTGGAGCAGAGCAAAAGCATTAACTCCTTTGAAATATGAGTACGTTCTCCCTAACCTTCAATTGTGGTATGCATTTGTTTCTTGAAACTCTTGTTTTGATCTGAGGCATCTGTACACAAGGCAGAAGTCACTCACGAGAGATGCAGAGCACGTGGGCAGCAAGCTAACGGTAATCCCAGCTTCTGAACACTGAACTAGTTTTTAGCACAACCCCAACCTTCTCTGTTGCCATTAGCAGTTCTATGGGATGGCAGAAAAGAAAGCACAGCTCTCCAGAGTGTGAGCTCCCTCACTAGATCTGAAAAGTTTCTGCAGAAGAGCCAAGACTAAATCAAGTTGACACGCAACTTTAACAACACTTTGTAATTACCCCGCACTGCTTTTGTCCTTGTGTCGCTGGGGGGCTCCTATACAGACAGGAAGTTTGCAGGACCTTTAGGAAGACAAGCCTTCTTAAGATGCTGGTTCCTCCACAGTGTATTTGAAAACCTCCAAGATTGAAGAGGATCCAGTACCAGAGCAAATACCCATCCACACAGATCTGCTTCATGCAGGATGAGTGCCACAAATACACCCATCTTTCATTGTGATTTTGCTAACGCTAAGGGCCTTGTTCAGGTTGCACAGGTTACAACCCACAGGACGTTGTAGGTAGCCGTGACTCAGCGGCCTGTGAAAACAGGATGAACTCTCACCACCTCCTTGTTCAAAAGTGCATTGCAGCAGAAAACACCAGGCAGCATGTCTGCAGCAAGCACAGCAGGTATGAAAATCATCGGGTCATCCGAGAACAGTGGCAGTGTGGCCATTCTACACCAAGCAGCAGCTAGGAGGACCCCGTGAGTGGGGTTCAAACAGCCCATCACCATCAGCACCACTGGATCGTTAGGAGAGAAGAGCCGGAAATGTTCACCTACAAGAACTGCAATGCTCAGCATTACCAGGCCTTACCTCTACCTCCAATACATGTAATTCAAGCTTTAATGCTTAAAACCAAACATGAATTACCAGGAAGCATTTGACAGAGGCAAGCAGAATGAGACACTTCTTTATCACATATCCCCAACACTCTCAAGCAGCAGCGTTTATTTTGATGACGTGAGTTACCACCAGAGTTATCACCATGTCTCAAATCCGCCTGCCTGGGTACGAGGAGTTTTATTTGCTTTGTGACATCAGCTTCCAGAAGCAGGACGACGCTCTCGTATCAGCAAAGCGCAGCAACCAGACCCCACCCCAAGGTGCCCCAGGAAAAGATTTGCTCCAAAAAGCAACCCACAAAGCAATGGATGGTCACTGAAACTCAGGAAGTTTATTTACTTCTGAAAAGAACTCAAATGTGCGAGGATGAAGGTGTGCTTTGAAGGCTAAACCAGAGATCAGAAAGATGAGTAAAACAGAAGTCCCATGAATGAAAAGAGGAAAATGCAGTGGATGCTGTCAAACTCAGAAAGCACTGCTCTCCTGCAGGCAGAACCATAACTCGCTGAGGTTAGAAAACGCATGGACAGCAGCTGCAGATTTCACAAAAGGGTATCAAAAAGAATCATAGAATCACCAAGGTTGGAAAAGACCTCAAAAGCTCATCCAGTCCAACCGTTTGCCTATTCCCAACAGCTCCCACTAAACCATGTCCCTCAACACAACATCCAGCCTTTCCCTAAACACCCCCAGGCTCGGTGACTCCACCACCTCCCTGGGCATCCATTCCAGTGTCTGACCACCCTTTCTGAAAAGTAATACTTCCTCATGTCCAGCCTGAATCTCCCCTGCCGTAGCTTGAAGCCATTCCCTCTGGTCCTATCACTAATGACACGAGAGCAGAGGCCGACCCCCAGCTCACTACAACCTCCCTTCAGGAAGTTATAGAGAGCAGTGAGGTCTCCCCTGAGCCTCATCTTTTCCAGGCTGAACATTCCCAGCTCCTTCAGCCTCTCCTCATATGGCCTGTGTTCCAGACCCCTCTCCAGCTTTGTTGCCCTCCTTTGAACACGTTCCAGGGCCTCCATGTCTTTCTTGCAGTGAGGGGCCCAAAACTGGACACGGTACTCGAAGTGCGGCCTCACCAGTGCTGAATATAGGGGAACAATCACCTCTCTGCTCCTGCTTGCAACACTGTTTCTGATGCAAGCCAGGATGCCATTGGCCTTCTTGGCCACCTGGGCACAAGTATCCAAACAAGAGCTACCTTCCCATTTCACAGATAGAAAACAAACAAAACCAATGCCCAGCATTTATGAGACATGAAAGGCAGCACGGATTTGTAAACTGGGAAGATCACAGAATGGCCAGGGTTGGAAGGGACCTCAAGGATCACGAATCTCCACCCCCCTGCCACACGCAGGGCCACCAACCTCCACATTTCACAGCAGCCCAGGCTGCCCAGGGCCCCATCCAGCCTGGCCTTGAACACCTCCAGGGATGGACGGGGCATCACAGCCTCTCTGGGCAGCTGTTCCAGCACCTCCTCCTCTTATAGCAAAGAACTTCCCCCTGACATCCAACCTAAATCTCCCCTCCCTCAACTTCAAACCATTTCCCCTCGTCCTGCTGTCATCTCCCCTTTCCAAGAGTTGATTCCCCTCCTGTTTGTAGGCTCCCTTTAGGTACTGAAGGCTGCACTGAGGTCACCCCGCAGCCTTCTTCTCTCCATGCTGAACAAGCCCAGCTCCTTCAGCCTGTCCTCGTAGGGGAGGTGCTCCAGTCCCCTGATCACCTTCATGCCCTCCTCTGGACCCTCTCCAACAGCTCCATCTTTTTTGTACTGGGGGCTCCACACTGGGACGCAGTGCTGCAGAGGGTGCCTCACAAGAGCAGAGTAGAGGGGGATAGAGA